CTCTGTATGGAAAAACATTTAAAACTTTCTTAAATTATATTTTTTGACTTAGACATCGCATCGCATTAATCAACCGAATACAATAACCTAGTGCCCCCACAGGGGCTCTTAAATTATATTTTTGTGTACGTATGACTTCTTCAGACTTTGAATTTTATGTATATAAGCCTCCTGAACTTTAATATATGCGCAGACAAGTAATAAACAAAATTGTTAAAAGAGAAATTAATTGCATAAATGTAAGAGTTTAAGGGGGAAGTTATTGTAACATAATTTTAAAACTTAAAGAGGTTATCTGTACATAATATAAATTAGAGAAGACTTATGTATAAGTTTACTTCTTTTTTTTCTTTTATCAAATGACATTTGAAACTTGGCTTTTGCGTTTAGTCTTTTAACTTTATAGATATTTTTAATTCAATCCTTTAACTTTAAAAAATATGTTTTCAGTCCTTTAATCTTAAAATTGTTAACAAAAATGATGACATTCAAATCTCAAGTATTAATAAAATATTCTCAAATACTAACATATTAAGTTTAATTTTTAAAAAAATATAATTATTATAGAGTTAAAGAACCAAATGTATACTTTTTAAAGTTAAAAGACCAAATTGAAATCTTATATAAATTTAAAGAACCAAATATATACTTCAACCTAACAAAAATTAAGTTATGTTTTGCTTGACCCAATCATAATTAGTAAATTAAAACATGTTTTATCAGCTTAACTAACTCCCTTGGAGCCATGTCTAGCGGATTAATTTCTTTACGTATGGTCCAATTCTTATCCTTATCTCGTTAAATATTAAAAAGATCCAATTAACCAATTCCTTGTCATCTAATCCATACTCCATAACCATGTTAACAACATATAATTTATTTGAGAGCTCAAAATGAAGCAATCAAAGAGTTTCTGGTTCTCATAACTCGACCTCAAGTGCTCTTGTATCTTTCACCGCATTACTACATTTGGAGATAAAGACTGTGGAATAGTTTTGGCCACTTATATTATATTGTCATATCTGTCTGATATGGACCAATTAAGCATGTACAAGGTCACTGCAATGTTTGGAACCCTCCTAACTGTCGTTGATGATAAAGTGCAAAAGAAATCAGCCAAACACTGCCTAACACTCATGGACAAGAAGAGCCTTATTGATCACAATCACCAATAGTGGGATTTTCTTTTTTGCATAGGGGATGTTGTTTTCACCAAGCAAAATAGGTTCACCCACCTAAAGACTTTGAAAGGGATTTATCAGGACTCGTTTGGTATGTAAATACCATTGGTAGTTCGATTGAGTGAAAATGATACTTTTGCTCCTTCTGATCCTATATGTAATAGTTAATGTATAAATTTTTTTATTCTGAATATAAGATCTCAACTAATTCCATTTTCAACATGTATAATCCCCCCTAAACTTCCATTATTAATTGCACATGTTAAGTAAATTTTCTATCAAGAAAGCTGTATCTAATGCAAATGATTAATTGAGTATTTTTTTTTTAAAATTAATACACATTTTTTATAGATAACAAATTTAACTATTTTTTAAATATATTTCAAATTACTACATCCGATTCTAAATATAAGATCTTGTTGATAATCTATAAACGAGATCTTATATTTAGGACAGGAGATAGTAGCTATCTAGCTATCTCCTACACTTAGGATTGAAGGGAGCAAGTAAGGTCTCAAGTTTGAATTGAATTGATGGAATAAATTATATCGGAGATTACTTATTTTCTAAAACAAATTAGTTATCTAATTATATCTTATATTTAGGATTAACGAGAATAATAACTAAAGTCTCAAATTTGAATCTAATTAATGGAACAAATTACATTGGAGCTTCTTCTGACTCTAATTCCAATACAATTTGAACATAATTTGATAGTATAGTCATAAAAAAATAATTAACCTAAGTGAGAGAGGTACACTTCTTACCTTCTATGGGTAGATAGATTAATCTTTGCTATTAACTTACAATGTTTTTTGTGAAAATATTGATTAGAGTTATATGCATATTCATGCAAACACATATAAAAAAATAAGAAAAATTATTATACAGTTTCACATAAGCAATTTTATTACTAAAATGTCATTTGAGTTGTCAATATGCCGTGATTTATGATCATTATTCATAATAGATCTTGTCATTGCCTCATTATTCACTTGTTATGAGAATTTTTAGCAATTAAAGTGTTTATGTGAAAATGCACAGTAATTTTTCCGAAAAAATATTGCTAAAAGAATGAAAATCTAAGTTAAAGAAAAGGACATGGGTGAGGAAAAGTCTCATCAGTAAAAAGGACTAAAATTTCTATAGATAGAAATATTGATACTCTGAAAATTTTGGATACACATAGTACTAATATTCTAATTCAAATCATTATTACTAATAAAATTTTTAATAAGAGATTTCTGCTAATTTTTCTATCAGAGAATGAAAAGTCACAATTTTTTTTAGTAAGAATAAGTATCCTCTTATTGGAAGCAATCTTGTTCGAGGTATTACGGGATACTAAATGTAGACACATTTTTTAGTGGAAATTTAGACCTTAATTCATCACGTTATGAAAGATTGAAACACGAACACAACACACCATTTTGGAAGTTGGAGTTGTCAGAAGCATAAATGGCCTTCCCTGCATTTTGAGAGCTGAATAATCCCATGTGATTGGCCTTATTGCAACGCCGAGAGCGACATTTTTGATGAATGAATGGGACATCTAAGATGTGAGAGCATGTGGCTATGTTTCAAATTATGGCAAGTGTTTGTCATTTCCCTTTTTAAGGGCATTATTGAAAATTGGACTGATAAATCCAATATTCGTGTCGTATTAATTAATTTGTTGAAAATATGTTTAATAATATGCGTGTATCTCATAAAAACAGATTAAAAATTTCAGAAATTGACTCTCCACCAAGTATATATTCAAATCATGATAACCATTTAATTACGTTAGTTGATTGGCTTTTCTATATATTTGTTTTTATATTATCAGTTTTTCTATGCATAGTGTAGAGAGAGAACGTTAGTTGATTGGCTTTTCTATATACTCCTCTGGTCCTTATTATATTTGACTTTTTATTTGGTCTAATTATAAGACCCAATCCATTTTCTCTCTTATATTTATGTATTTTTTTCAAGATAATCCTAATAATGATAGTTTTAGCCAATATACTTAATTAGCAAGGATATTTTAGGAATAACAACACTTATTTATTATAAATAACCAACTTAACTTACTTCCTTAATCTCCTCAAATAAGTCAATTGTCTTATATTAGGACGGAGGAGTATTTGTTTTGTATTATCAGTTTTTCTATGTATAGTGTAGAGAGAGAATGTTCGAGAAAAGTGATTACTTATTGATTAAAAATATGTTTAGAAAAAAATTTAAAAAGAAAAAAACCCACCCAAGTTTGAAGGATTTGTACAAAGAACACAATATTTATCATAAATTTCTCAGCTTGATTCACTAATAGCAGAGAAGAACTTGTAAGTTACCAAAAAATGAACTTCTGAGGTAAAAAATGATAAAGGAAAAGTCCCACATGAACTTATAAAATTTCATGAATTTATGCAGTAAATAAACACACATGATGAATTATAAATATGGAGGCTTGACATGTAGAATGTGGAAGAGGAATCATAAATAAGAATAACATTTAGAATATTACTACTCCTCCGGTCCTTATAAGAAATTTGACTTTTATTTGGTCCTAATTATAAGACCCAATCCATCTCTCTATATACATTTTTTCCAAGATAATCCTTCTAATAATGATAGTTTTAGCCAATATACTTAATTAGCAAGGATATTTAGGAATGACAACACTTATTTATTATAAATAACCAACTTAACTTACTTCCTTAATCTCCTCAAATAAGTCAATTGGGTCTTATAATTAGGACCAGTATTAATTTAATAATAGATCATCTTAACAGCTGCGGACCAGTGTGGTAATATAGTAACATCCCTTTTCATATATTTTTCAAATTACATTAATAACTCAGACTTAAGAAACTTATTCTCTTACCTAAGGCATATTTATGACTTTCCCTTAAAAATATATTGACATATCCTCACATGCTGCGATAGTATTATAAAGTACAGAACCACATGCCTATGAAGGATGTAACAAAACATGATATTGTCCCAATGGACAGAACATTGAAGAGATGCCATAAAGTTGCATGTGGCATGTACATCAATATGACCTTCTCATCACTAAACTCAATCTTGGGTGGGATCTTTGGTTATGGACTTGTCTGCTACTGCCACACCCACACCCACACACACACACACGAGTTAAGATTTTGGATTGCAATCTCTTTTTGCAAAGCATCCAAACATACTATTCTGTTTTATTATATCCTTCTCCCAGTCATAATGGACAGCCTCCAATTTGTTCATCACTAAACCATGCCAGGCCATCAAATGGAGGCATCATAGGAAGACTCAACCCAAAATCTTGACCTCACAAATTTTAAATGCGACAGCAAGTCCTTTTGTGAATGATCTATCTCAATATTTCACTGTTCACAGAGCAAAATAACGTTGCGCACTCTGAATAGCCAATTTCACTTTATAAGGTAGGACTAGTTGCTACTGTTGTTGATGACAGTAAGTTCATCTTAGGAATTTCTTTTCTAAAGGGATTTGACTTGAATGGAAAACGGGCCTGCCCAGGGCCATCCAATATGATACCAAATTCATTGGTGTTTACAGCTAGCATGTAAGCAGTCCAGTATTGAAATCCTTAAAGCAGTTCAGACTTCAGACTCAAATATACATACAGTGCCAACCTCAATGTCCGACGAGTACACAAACCTAACCTTGAACACCTACCTTATCACTGATTTAAAATTACATTACATTAATACAAACATGAAACACAGCATTTACACGCATGATGAAATAAGGAAAAATCCAAATTTTGAAGTACTATATGAAAAACTGAGGAATATCTGATATAGGAGGTCGAACGCATTGAAATGAAATAAATCTACACTTCCATGGAGAATCAGTACCGTTTCATTGGATTAGTTGATAAGGGATAAATTCATCCCCTTAACAAATAACATCTGCTATCGTAAAAAGGAGCAAACGAATAATGAAAAGAATGTAACTATAAATCGCTCTGTACATTGTATTTACAAAAGAATTGCATCTTTTGAGATCCTAATAAATATACGCCACTCAAATAATGAAAATTTCACCTACTGCTCAGTTCTGGCTTCTGAAACTTTCAAGCAGACACATATGTGAAGAAAATGCTCGGGATTTATTAGGTTGCTCACCACCCAAGAAAAGGGTATCTCCAATTTTGGTTCTATCCCTTGAATGCGAACAAGCTTGATTTCAGCATTCTCGAGTTGGGAGCAAAGTGAAACAGGATCACATGAATTTTCTCCCCCTTCTTCTGCACTTTGCTTGGTGCTTGGATCCCCCTCATCAGCAATGTTCCTTTCTGGGAAAAACTCCGGTAGAAGGTTTTCAACCGCATCTCTCAAGCTGAAGTACTTGCCTGTAGCGCAAGAGTAAATAGCACCAGATAGACACATGGGGCTAATTAGCACAAGATGATAAGAATGATAAGAAATGTGACAATTTGAAGGAAATGTTTGACACATGAGGGTTGGCAATGGAAATAATCCATCCCTACCAGGAGGTGGACAGAATAACCTCCAAGATGCCCTCATCATTCTTGACGAACCAGTGACCCGAGAGATGATTAGGTGAACTTTCAGTTAATGATACTTGATATGAATTTTATTGGAGACAGCATTCATATATGAGGCAAGAAAGAAGCCAAACCTCCTAATGAATCCCAAATTATCAGCACAATTTGAACTAACATTAATCCTAATAATAACTAATAAAATGAGAAGAACATACAGTACAAGAAGGAGGAAAAAACTTGAGCAAATGAAAGGAAACAAAAATTGTCAGATAAAAATCCTTTCAACAAAATGCAGCTTCCCATGAGTTTTTTTCTAATGATAAAAGAAATAATAAACATGGAAGATAAACAGTTTTAAGTTTAAAGGTAAACAAATATCCTCTATAAAACATGGCTTACCTTCTTCCTTGTGAACTTCAACAGGTCGATTTATATAAGAGACTTTGTCCCAGCTATCAATTGAAGGTACATTTTCAAAATCATCAAAATCCTCACTGACAGTCCATACATAGAGTCGAACAGGAATTCTACCTGAAAAAGGGTCATACTTTGTAATCAACGAAGTTTGAGAATGGTCAAAAGTACAAACTCGGCACCAATCCAAGTCAACAATTTTTTCTTAAAAAAAATCCAAATAGGAGTTATAAATCAGAAGATGATATTGATTAATATGCTATATTTTAAGGGAAAACCGAGTGACACTATGAATATAAGATCTCCGAAGAAAAGAAGAATAATGCAACAAGTTTCCCTAGTAACCTCTGAAATATATATGTAGATTCTACTGTGGTTTACGTAGATTGAAGCTCAAATCCCATCGTGTCAAAGTATAGGTACCAAGTTTACAACAAAAGCACACACCATTCGAAGGTTACAGATGAGTAGAAAATAGAATGATAAGGCAAATATGCAACGCTAGAAAGTCCAGGAATCATAGAAGTTCCAGGATTCCCTCTAATCAGGGCACCTTAAACCTATTTAATCCCATCATCTTATGGCAGCCAAAGTCACCATCAAACAGAAATATGCCATAAAACCCATCATTGTATCTAAGACCATAAAGGCAATGTCCCTAAACTTCCCTTGCAATCAGGCTTTACTGAGAGCCAACAAGTCACTAAGAATCATGCAAGAAGCAGCATGTCCATGGTGCTCACCTATCTTCATTTGTGCAGCCACATCTGTCTCCCCAGCACTTTGTTGAGATTTTTTTGCGTTTGAATCACTATGTGCCACAAATTCATCTTCAAAAGTTCCAAGCTTAAGCTTAAATGACACCCGTCGATAGGCATCCAAATTACCTGCAATGAAAATGAGTGTTGACAGATAACTAATAATCCAAAGCCGGTACAATGAGTGTTGACAGATAACTAATAATCCAAAGCCGGTACAACAGGTAAAACTACAAGCATACAGAAAAAAATTATCATATTGCAAACAAATATCTCAATATGTTTTAAACAGTGCTCTAACATGCTGCTGTGCATATACTATAAATAATATAGTGCCCAATAGAGTAAATGGAACACCAGGAAAAAGGTTGAAATTTAACGCCAAAAGAAGCATAATATCTTCCCTGCAAGACTGGTTAATGTAAGATGAGAATTAAGTTAATCATATCCCGCCATAAATTCCTTTAGGAACATAGCAAGGAAATTTTATGACTTCATAAGCATCAGGGAAGTTACTTTGTTGAAGAGAAAACTGAACTAAATCTAGTCAACAGAAATTCCTTTGGACCAGGGCTTTTCATTTGTAGAATATAAAACACTTAAATGGGATCTCAGAAAAATAAATAAACAGGCTTATGAAGAAAGTACTAACAACAAATATCTAGCTAGCTGACATACCCTTTAAAACAGATTGCCAGAGCTCCACCTGATCAGTTTGAGACATGTTCATGACATTCTTGCAGTTCCCAAGTATAATATATGCAGCCTGCAGGAAAAATTCAGTTAGAATATTGAAAACAAGAACAGTTAAAATTTCCCGTATTTTCAATTGGAAGAGACAGCAGTTTTAGGAATGCAAGCCGACATAAATTAGCATGCTCTTCTTTTTCCCCTTTGCCAACCGTAGTTTGCTCTTCACACTCATGGGACTTGACATACTGATATGCAGATTGATGGCAGACAACGCAGACACACAAATACTGTGAATAAAAAGTTGCATAGGAGAATTTGCTGATGATGATGTCAACTTGCTGAAAGAAATTCTCAATGGCACATGGATGGAACAAAGATCCTCTAGAATATTATACTCTGGCCGGGAAGAGAAACCAAAGACAAGGAATAATCCTCAAACATTCCAAATATTTACTCAACTTCAATAATAAAAGGTTAATATCCTAAGATAGATTTTATGCCTATATAAGTGCCTTTATATAAGCTATCTCAAAAACAACTTAGCAATTTAAATTTAGAAAGTTCCTTGAAGGAAAATGAAGCATATACACTACATACACTGAAAAAGTCTCAATGGCACAATATCAAGGAAAAAGAACACTAACCTCTTTCAATGAGTTGATAAAGCTCCACTTTACACTGTCTTCACTTTCACAGGGTAGCAATATATTACTTGGATATCCTCTGAAGTGTACCTGCAAAAAAGAGAGTAGAGAGAATCAGGTTAGAAAACTCATTGGAGTAAAGCAGTTTAAATTTCATACGAGCGTACTCAGATGCTCAACCTAACTTTATATTTACACCCCCCCCCTTCATTTCCCCTTCAACGCAACTCAAGCACTTCCATTAGATTTGGAAAATAGGCACTACCTCTGTTCAGAAAACAAAAACATTTATGTGAATGTGTAGGAACAACATGTATAAAATTTTATTGGCATTTCATGTACATTATGTTTGAATGACCCAAGTATAGAACGTTACATGAACAAACTAAAACACTATCAAGTTGACAAATCTCCCCAAATAATAGTAGAGAGAATCAGGTTAGAAAACTCATTGGAGTAAAGCAGTTTAAATTTCATACGAGCGTACTCAGATGCTCAACCTAACTTTATATTTACACCCCCCCCCCTCATTTCCCTTCAACGCAACTCAAGCACTTCCATTAGATTTGGAAAATAGGCACTACCTCTGTTCAGAAAACAAAAACATTTATGTGAATGTGTAGGAACAACATGTATAAAATTTTATTGGCATTTCATGTACATTATGTTTGAATGACCCAAGTATAGAACGTTACATGAACAAACTAAAACACTATCAAGTTGACAAATCTCCCCAAATAATAGGTTCGTGAGACATTTGGAAAGTCCTTACTGTTAAATTCCAAGGTCGTTCAGGCTCCACACATAACAGATCAAAAAGGACTCCAGTTGGAATATACCTGCATGAGAGATGACAAATAAACAATTGTAAGAGTTCAAATTCAACATTCTATGAATGGTAAAGATGGCAGTTCGATAGCCATGAACAAATATGCAGTGCCAACAAAGGTATTGATGGAAAAGGAATACAAATCGGAACAATTTTTTTTTCCCCAACAAAAGGTAGTGATAAATGCTAAACCACTTTATTTCCCAACTAATACCACATGGATTTACCGTGAAGAGAAGGTACAAAAATGTTAACTCATGATTGAAGAGAAATAAATTGAACACAGCCATCTAATTTTTAATATGACGGAGTATACACTCATATAAATAATAAAGACTCCAACTCCCTGCAAGCTTGCTTCCAGGGAGACGTTTTAACATGATGTCAGTCTGTCAGAAGTTAATTTTAGTCTGTCTCTGGACTAAAGTGCAATCCATCTGAATATTCTTTTGCTTTAATTGTCATTCTGGACAAGTCCATCTAGTAATATTCCTTTTAACAAGTATCATCGCACAGGCAGCTATTAAACTGTAACAATGACACAGAACTGACGTTGTGCATAATTAGATATATTGAAATGTAAAATATGATTTTGACAAATAGAAATCCAGAGTCAACTTTCCTCATATTTACAGGTTTTTCTTCATAAAATAAGATTACATTATGAGAAGAGAAACATAAAAAGAGAAAATATAAAGTCCTACTAGGGTAATCAAACAAGGAGAAGGCTTGAATGACAATAATATATTTAAATTTGACTATAACCAATTTGAACCAGCAATCATGCGCCAAATGGTCCATTCCATTCACAAAGAAGTAATTTAAAGCATGGAAAACGAGGCAAAGCAATGGTGAAACTTGATGCAAAAGATTTGCTGTTAGGTATATTGTCATTTGAGTTTGCGATTTTATGAATGAATAATTACAACATACCATTTCAAAGGCAATCCTTTGTATTCAAACCAAATTGTATCTACTCCAGGGGGAAGTGTAGCGCTGAAATAAGGCTTTATGATAGAAATCAACAAAGGCAAGTATCCTCTCCGAGGAGCTAAAACCTGATCCCACAAAAAGATATATATTTTTGATTAAATTCAGATACACTCATACATATCCTGAAAACGTTATATCAAAGCTGTAGTTAAAATAACACCCATGCAGGAAAGATTTATCATGTTACATAAAACATGTGTTATTCATTTGCATCCACGTTTTTCTTATTCAAGAAAATATAGTATTTTTCAACAAAATCACCAGGAGATGTCCTAAATAAAAAAGGCAGTGAGGTGCGTGTGCCTCTGAAAATTAAACCCTTTTTGCTACATAACAATTTTTTTGTCATCAATAGGGGAATAAAAGTATATACAAACCAATCAAACAGTTAATCAGTTCTTGACGGATTAGAAAAGGGTTCAGTTTGTCTACAGAGTTGACAGTATTGAAGGACCAAAATAATGAGGATGAGAACTTTTCCATTAAAAAAGGACCAAAATAATGAGGATGTGAAAAACAGCCGCAAAAGATTTTATGCAACAAGTAGTGTTTTAGTTCAAACTTACTAGAGCAGAGTCAATGACTTAATTACTTTTGTTGTTCACATTATAAAAATATTCATCTTATAAAGAAAGACAACTCAGTGGCAATCATAATTCACCAAATACATAAACACCTATAATTTACCCCTGCACGAAATGCAAGAAAAGACAAAATTACATGTAGCCTAAAATGCATTGAGCTAGCACTTCAGGTAAGGCACGGGACCCACAAGATTTTATAGATATATAGACATAGATTAGCATCAGTAAATCTCCAGTAAAGCTTGATCAAGAAGCACAAAAATGTAAGGTCTGAAGGGATGCTGAGGCAGCAAGAAACCGAGGTTTTTTTTTTTTTTGGGGGGGGGGGGGAGTCTGTCATAAATAAGTTATAGAATAGTTTTCCAGAAGATGTTAATACAAGAAACCAAGATCAGGCAAAGTAAAAGCTCGAGATGAAAAGGAGACCTTTCAAATTCAATAACAAAGATAAAAGGTATTTTGGGGAAAAGGAGGCAGAATACCAGGGCAGGTGGAGGAGGAGGGAGAGTGGTAACTTCAGATTCATGGAGATGAATCTGAAGAGGAATGGCCCCGTCCCATACATACTTTTGTGCATCCGTCATCTATTCCTCTTCAAAAATGGGGCTCGTCTCCCCCTCCCTCTATGCACTTCTTGATACAATTTAAATGTGTCCCAGTTGCCGGAGAAGTGGATATATATACTGTCTGCTGTACAAGAGTGAATTGTGATGGCGGGGGTCTGAAACTGAAACGAGTATTGCATTAGTAGGAGATTAAAAGAAGATCAAAAAACTTCTTTGTTATATGAGTTGATGAGCTAAATAGACCAACATATGAGTTTAACCCATTTTCACAGCTCTGCCAATCACAAAAGTTAAAACCATGCTAAGAATCACTGGGGCAGCAAGAAAGCTCTGAACAGAATTTGTACACAATACCCAGCTAAAAACGCTAAGCATCCAGGCAATGAACAGGATTAGCACTCAATTTTAAGCTAAAAACAATATGACCGGTTTTAAAAATGACTAGGACAGCAGGCGATATCTGAAAGAGTTTACACCAAACTTACAAGCTAGAAATCAAGTTGAAACTATACTTCACAACTCAGACAGTGAACAAGCTAGGAAGATTTAGACTGAAATACAAGTGATAACTGTAGCAAATACTTGAAGAAAGCCTAACGAATCACAAATTTCATATCCAAAAGACCAAAATTGCAATAAACCGAGACACGGAAACATTCAGGCACGCTGACATTTAATATCAGATCCATTTAGGCAACACAAGCACCAGCATTCGGATTTGCAATAATAATTTTTTATCCACAATCACGACATACGAGCAAATAGAGACATATCAAGCTCGCTATATCTAACAGAAAAACAAATTACAACAATGACAAAAGACTGCAAGCAGAATTCACTTTATCTTCTTTATCCAAAACAAAACGATAGCAAAATCCATAACAGATAACACATAAAGTCCACTCAGATCATCATAAAGCACCCCAAAAATCCCTTCCTCACTGAACCAAGTCAAAAAGGAGAAACCAAAATACAAGCGTGAAAATCAAGGAAACCCAAAATACAACACTGAATATACCTTTCTTCAGTTGACTCCAAAGAGCTTGAAGAACGACAGGGACCGCAGACTGATGCGCTGGATTACTTGTTTTTCCCTTGATCCACTGTCTCTTTTCCTTCGGTTCTATGTGCTATATCGTTCCCAGTGGCGCTATCACCCCACGTCGCGACAAAAGCGAGAAATTGGAGCTGAGCCGAGGCGAGGCAGGCGTAGACCACGAGTAAGCTTCGAACTTGGAATTTGGAGTGATCAGGGGAAGGGGAAAAGAGGAAGTGCCGTCCCCTCACTCCTCCCAATTCTGCAGGAAGCCGGTGAATCTGCGATTGTTTGTTTGCTCCAGAATGCCTTCACGGTCCAGATCCTTCTGTGTTTTTTTTTTTTTTTTTTACTATTCTGCGTCAGCTACTTGCCTACTTGGGGTTTTTTCTTCAAATAAAAAAGGCAAAAAAGCTAACAGGAAAATCCCTAGCCTTTTTAGAGTGTATAATACTCCTTCAATCTTTAATATAAGACTTATTTTATTAATTTGATTAGATTAAAGAGTTAGATAAGTTATTTAATTATAAGAAATATGATATATTTTTCCTAAAACATCATAATTATCTTCCTTAATATCCTTTCTTCCTCTTCTACTTGATTATGGTTGAGGAAGTATCTATAAGGGTAATTTAGAAAAAATTAATAAATATGAGAAATAGGTCTTATATTTATGGATAAAAGTAAATCAATAATTAGATCATATATTAAGGACGGGAGGAGTATCATTTTGGGCTTTTGCTTTCTAACACAAGGAGTGTTTGGTAACATAACTTTTCGCAAAATGAGACAAATTCCTTCGTATATTTACTTCGTATACAGTAAAAGTATTTTTAAAATTATAGTTTAGTTTCTATCCAAATATCTCACAAAAGAACCCTTGAGAATCAGGCATGAGGATTTGGAGATTCGACGCAGAATTTTTGGACTAGGAAAAACCTCGTTATTTTTTGGACGAAAGGGGAAAAATACCCATGAACAATTAGCATATGTGCAGCTAGCACCATAAACAAACCGTGGGTCCAAATATGCTCATGATGATTTCAAAAGGGTTCTGTTTTATCATAGTCGATAGACCCAAAAAAACATCCATCGATTTTGAGCTGTGGGTCCCATTTTCCCGTCCATGTGTCATCCAGGCTGGCTTGTAACACTGAAATAAATTGTTATTTGAACATCAAATATGGCAGGTGAGGAGAAAGCATTGAAGGCAGCATCAAAGACTGATATCTCTACCATTAAAGTCGAAACCCAACTTTTCTGAAGCCATTATTGAGGTCCAAGGTTACGATTTAGTGGGTTCACAGAATGAAGTGGTGAGAAAGAAGTAGATGGTGTCTTCATCTTCTTCGACAATAACGAGAAGTAAAAGGAGAGTGGCTTTGATGAGGGCACCAAGTCATGAGGATAATTACGAACGTCCGACAAGATACTGCCACCATAGGTTGGTGGCTAGAGGTGGAAACAGGCCAGGCGTCACCCTTAACAGGCCTGGCCTGTGGTGAGGCCTATTAGTCTGAGCCTGGCTTGCGGCTTGTGAAAGGCCTTTTAATTGGCCTGAATCTAGCCTGTAATCAGGCCTGTTTTTTTACCAAATTTTAAACACACATAAATCAATTCAAAATTACAATAATTCAACCTAATTTATCTAAAATGCAAACAAAAAGTATGAAATTATCAAATTAACACAATTTGTAAAACATGCTCCCTTAGGCCCAAAAAAAATCTAATATGAAAAATTATTAGAAAACATAATTTCACTCTGATATAAAAATATCACTTCATCCTATCTCTAGTATAAAAATTAATTGATGACTAGATCTAGTTTAAAATATGAAACATCCTTAATCCCTTTTATATTTTAAATTTATCATTTATTCAAACTAATTTACTAACAAAATGATATTTGATCTTGTTGTTACACATGGTTGTTTTAAAAAAAAAAAATACATTTATTATAATTTATTTATTTATTTAAATTAATTAAGCAACTACTATAATAAGAATTAGATTGAGCACATGTATATACAGTCTAAAACATAATAGGTCAATTCTATATATATATATATTCTATATAAGATTAATATGAAAAGTATGGATCAAATAAATGAATGATGCTTTTATTTTTTTTAATGCATTTATGTTTTCTTTCTTTGTTCAAATATGTGTCATTATACATACATCAATTATTTTTATTATAGAGAATGAAAATGAAATGAAGCATGCAATAGGCTATAGATAACACATTTATGTGGGTGGAGTTTTCTCAATTAACCAATCAGAATAGCAAATTCCCTCCTGTCAATTTACAATTTTAACCCACAAAAAAAAAGATAACAGGCCCAAGCCGCTTGACAGGCCTCATAGGCTTACTATTAGGTCTAAACTTAGTCTAATAAAGTAAACAGGCCTTTTTACAGGTCTGAGCCTGGTCTGATATCTAAATAGGCTAGGTCAGGCCAGGCCACAGACTCCTGACAGGCCGCCTGGCCTATTTCCACCCCTATTGGTGGCTCCACATTGGACAGCATGTACAGAAAGTAACCTTGGGAGGAGGTTCTATAGGTGTCGACACTACTACCACGTAAGAAAGTTAGCATTTTCAATTAGATTGGTGTTTTGATATTGATTAGACGGTGGTTATGAACTTTGACAGGATGGGGGTTGTGGCTACTTCGCTTGGCACGATGATGAGTTCAATAAGAGGGCAAACATTGTGATTAAGCAGCTATTGGATGATATTGACAAATTGTATGATGAGAATTCCATGATCTGAAGAGCAAACGATGGTCGAAGGTTGTGTAATGAGGTTGATGCAATCCATGGAGAATTGAGGAAGCTAACATGTAGGACTCAGACAAGGGAAAGTGAAGTAAGAAAGGCTGAAAATAAATTGAAAATTGTTGTGGCTGTATTCATGATGACATGGGTATGGGTGGTGATTTTGTATTTGGGAAGGTAATTAGTAATTTGAGAGTGAACAAGTGATAGTAGAAAATGTAAGAATGTATGAGTTAACTATTGATTAGTGGTGTATTTCCTGTTTGGTTATCAATGAAAGTATTTGAAAGGTTATGATTATTTTGGTAAAAAAGCATGATGGAAAATTTTGTATTTTGATTTAAAAATCTTAAGATTGAAAACAATCTATTAATATATTAACAACAGAATTGAAGCAAGCTGAAGCAAATGAGACATACAAAATAAATCAAAAATATATGGACATACACAATAGACCATAAACATTTGTCATACAAATGTCATCCTAAAGGTCAAAGTGAGACCAAATATTGGAAAATGAAGCGTGGCATTGGCAACACATTGCCTCTGACATACAAAAAAGACCACAAATATCTGTATACATCCCAAGACAAAGTCAAAGTCACCAAAAAGAAAGGGATCCCTTATGCCATACACTTCATTCAAAATATACCCTATATGTCACTATTAATTATGTAGATAATGACAGCATAGCAGGCTATATATCAAAGTTGTTTGATCTGCTCCTAGTTGTATTTCCAACGAAGCTCTGTCTCTGTGCAAGGAGTTGTGAAGTTATAATACTTGGGTTTCCTCTCCATTGGAGACCTGGGGGCCTAATGGGAGTTCAGATGGTTGTGTGTTGAAATTAATCCTTCTACAACCATGTGGTTGATTTGACTCAGTACCCCGTGTCCTTCTCAATTCCCTCTGATTTGGTATTAGGAATTTGGTCTGGGGTTTAGGATAATGTTGCAGATATTCTTGTGGGGTTGCCTCATGAAGCACAATTTCTGAACTCATTCTAGGCTGCATGAATAAAGAAATTTAGATATCAATAATGGTGACTCACAAATTGAAGAATTCTCCCTGTATTTTCATCAATTCTCAGACCCATTCTAGTGACCACTCTTGATTTGTACACACTTCTTGTCTGAGGCTTAGGTTGTTGGGAGAGAGATGGAGGCTATATTGATGGTTGGAAGAGAGATTGAGGGTGTGTTGATGGTTGGGAGCGAGTGGGTGATTGTGGCTCATTTTGCTTTCTTCTATTCTTCCTTGGTTAAGGGGCAGCACTTAAAGGAGGTGCCTGCAAAACAAAAGGTTCGAATGGAGTCAACAAATACTAATTAACAATTAAACTTGAAAAAAAATAGAAAGTATCATTACCTCTTTACACGTGTGCGACAGTAACTACATCTCACTATGCGACCTTGTTTGCTCAACTTCTCAAGTTGAGGGGCTTGTTGCTGAGTATTTTGTTCTGCATTCTAGGTAGACATACCCTTGTTGAGCCTCCTCTGTGATTCTTCCATTCTCTTTCTCTTTTTCCTAGGTCTTCCAGGCAAGGCAGAAATAGATGGTGGCTGCATTGGGAGGAATTTGTCCATATCCCAGAATTGTCTGCCCCTAACTGGCTAGAAGTTTGTCCTATAGCTAGCTATATAGGTGTCTATATGGTAGTAATGGGAGATTTGGGAAAAGGGATCTATTTTTGAGTGATACATTGCATAAATTGCATGTTGGCATGGGATTCCAGTTGAATCCCATGCCTTACATGTGCACATCTCCCTATTAAGATACATAGTATGCTTATCTTGTCCCCCACTTACCTCATAACCTTCATCCCCATTGAAAAAGACTCTACAATGAACAGATAACAACCTATTAGCCTCAAATAACCCCAACCTTCAGCTGTAAATACCATTCTAGTTGTTCATATTGGTTTCACCCTCAACCCATTTCCCCATCATCTTCAACCTAATGCCATCAAACATCCTAATCACTGGAAGATATCTATACCCATCAATCCAGGAGTTGAAGCTCTCACTAATATTATTGTCTACCATCCAAGACTTGCATCTTGGGGTAAAGAATGCTCTTACCCAAGTAGTTAGATTATATGTTAGTGTTGCAGCTGCTGCTTGTTTGTGTAGTGCACCAAGAGCTTTCATGTTGTCATTGAACTCTTCTACAAAAGAACTCCATGCACAAGTAAAAAACTTTTTCTTTAACTCAACGCCCCTCCAAGTTTTGCTCCAATTAGCATATATATGTCTTGCACAAAATCTATGCTCTGCCTTAGGAAGCACATTAGTGACAGCATTGTCCAATCCCTAACAACACAAGTTAATCAGTCATACATTGATGTCAAAGTTTATAAATAATCAACAATAATAATATAGTTACCTTCTGCATGTCTGACATAATGGTTAAAGTAGAACCAGACCTCAAGACCAATGAAATTCGCAACCATTCAAGAAACCATTCCCACTAAAGACCATTTTCCTTTCAACTAGTGCAAATGCTAATAGATAGAGAGCATCATTGGCATCGATCTCAACAGCAGTAAGTAACACTCCCTTTGATTTACCTTTAAGAAAAGTGCCATCGAGCCCAGTTAATGGCCTGCATGCTTCTTTCCACCCAACCTACAAGTTTAACAGATTAATATAGCTAGCAAATAAATTTAGAGATTAAAAATAGTGAAAATTTGATGATCACCTGCCTTAAAAGCATTGAAACAGAGATATATCCTTTTAAAAACCCTTCTACCTTGCTTTAGTGCCTCATTACTCAACTCCATACTTAGATCTGATCCTGGATTTGGGATTCTCAATTCATTGCAGTAAGCCTCTAACTTTGCAAACTAATCCTTAAAGCTACCTGCCATGTCATCCATGATCTTCCTCCTTGCTCTCTTATACTTGTGTATACTAACATGGACCTTAAACTCATGCTCAACCTCCTTCTTCATCTCATTGATCTTGAAATGAGGGCTCTCTTGGGCTTTTTCTTTGAAATGTTCAGCTAACCACTGCACGAAGGCTCTAGGGTTTTTATACATCATAGCACATCTATGCTCTGGACACAAGGTCTTCACCATGAAACCAACTTGTTGCCCATCCCGTGAAGCATACAACATAAAAGGACATCCCTCTTCGCACACTACCTTTACCAATCTTTTATCACTCTTAGCCATTCTCAGGTTTACTCCTTTAGTTATTGCATGTCTATCCAAAGCCCTCTTAAGGTCCTGCTTGTCCACAAAGGTCATGCCCAACATGAAGAAGGGCCTGCTAGCTGAGCCCACTAATTGACACCCTCTCTTACTTCTTCTAGAGGCCCAATATCATATTGTGGGCCTTCCTCCTCATCCTCACTTTCATCACTAGCTTCAACTTCTAAATCTGACTCAACATTCTCCTCTGTATTAGAGCTTGCATTTTCTGCCACATAACTTACATCTTCACTATCAGAATCTCCTGAAATCTGCTCCTCATCCTCGATTTAAAATCTTGCACTCTCACCTGGAAAAACTAGGCCCTCACTAGAACCCCTCCCACTCTCATTTACATCATCAACACTCTCGTACACTTCATTTACTTCATCAACAGGGTCCACATGTTCAGTTACCTTACCAACATTGTACATAACCTCATTTATATCACCAATATCCACAAGTTCATTAACATCATCAACAGAGTACCTAATTTCATTTATATTAGGACTAAATTTCCCCTCTCTATCATTATCATCGAAATCATCTAACACATCAATGTCTTCTATAACCTCTTATTCCTCACCTCTGTCATTCGCGTCATTTTGCCCTCTCTCATTTTGCCCACACCATCCGGTATCTCCTATACTATCCCCTATGCTGTTATGTCCCCCTCACAAATGAATCTTCGTTTGTTCCCAAGTTCTTTTTTCAAGAATATAAATTTCTCTGTACTTAATAACCAACCTTGCATGCTTCTCTTGTAGCAGTTCCTCCCCATTTTCACCCTTTGTATCAGCATTGACCATCCCTTTCGAATCCATTACACTGTCAATAACAAAAATAATACAAAAAATCAATCAAGGGCTTCAATGACATTTCACTGTACACACTAGAGAACAACAATTTCTGGGTCCCAACGATGCTTACCTGTGATCTTCCTCAACCCGTAACCCTAGTAGAATCTTATCACTTGTGTTCGCTAAAATTACGCCTTCAGAATCTTTCCCTCCCTCTCACTTTCTTGCTTCATTCGATTCTCTCAACATCTTTTTCTATCAAGAGCCATTGTTTTCATTGCCGCTCTCTTCATTCCAATCGCGTTCTAACTGTGCCCTCTTCTCCTCTTAATACTTACTCGTCTTTTCCTATTCGCACGTGGTCTCCCTTCTTCTTCTTTTTTCCAACAGGGCAACACTTTTCTCTCCATCAATATGATTTCCCTTCTGGTCAAATAAAAATAATACGACTTAGTAAGCCACGTGTACACTCAGCTTTGCCACCTTACCCTTTCATTTTGGTCAAACCTTTCAACCACGCAGTGTTACAAGTCAACCTGGATGACACATGGATGGGAAAATGGGACCCACAGCTCAAAATCGACGAACATTTTCTGGGTCTAACGGCTGTGGTAAAACAAAGTCCTTTTGAAATCATCATGAGCATATTTGGACCCATGATTTGTTTATAGTGCCAGCTGCACATATGATAATTGTTCATGGGTATTTTTGCCCTTTCACCCTTATTTTTTGGGCCCAATAATTCAACTGGACATAAGACCATACATTACATGATATTTTTTTAAGAAAAAAGAATAATCCATAATAATAATAATAAGTTGTATAATAATTGGTTATGAGAAAAATCTATATAAATTGATTGCCAGCAATGCAAATGGCAAGTTGCTGGTCTCGAGTTTGAAAAAGGAAAAGAAAGGGATGCAACTTGGTCTATGAGTTTGATCACTTACAAGACATTAACTACTAGGAACTTGGTTAATACCACTTTTGGTACTCTGATTTTTAATATAAGAACTAGTTAATTAATTTGAGTGGATTAAAAAAATTAGTTAAGTTAATTATTTATAATAAACAGGTATTGTCTTTCCTAAAATATTATTGGTTAAAACTACTATTATTATAATAATGACCCTAAGAAAAAAAATAAATATGAGAGATAAAATTGATTAGAACTTATATTTAGAATCAAAATAAAAGTCAAACGAGCTCTTATATTAAAGACTGGAGGTCGTATAAGAGTTAATTGACTAATTTGAATAGATTAAAAAAATTAGTTAAGTTAGTTATTTGTAATAAATAGGTGTTGTCTTTTCTAAAATATCTTTGTTAATCAAGTATATTGATTAGAATTACTATTATTACAAAGTCTATTTTAAGAAAAAAAACGAATAAATATAAGAGACAAAGTAGATTTGAGTCTTATATTTAAAATTAAAATAAAAGTCAAATAAACTCTTATATTAAACATCAGAAGTAGTATTATTTTTAGCTTCTAAAATTTGAAATTTGTTATTTGATTTTGGTTTTGAAATTTAAACTTATTTTAAGTTTGATTCTTGAAATTCAAAAAAATAGTTTTAATCTCTAAAATTTGATTTTATCTTCATCTGTTTTTTAAAAAAATTTGTTCCTAAAATGAAGTTTTTAATTCTTGAAAAAAGAATCAAAACAAAAACAAGTTAAATTTTAACAGCGAAATTATAACACTATCCACTTAACTTAGTTTGCTCAACCGTGTAAACCAATTTATTTTTTTAACTTAAAATTAAATAAAAGTACAAAGTAAAAACACTTCAGTGTCATTTAGGAAGGAGGGGTTTTTAGGAAAATTGTAACAAGGTTCGATTTAAAAAAATTAAATACAAAAAAATTTCTTAAAATTATTAAATTAATATGAAGTCTGAAGAGATTTTATTACAATAAATTTTATTTATTTAATTATCAAAATACTTTTTTTAAGTATACAATGGTAATTTAAAATGTAATAATTAATAATTATCGTGACAGATATTGACAAGTTATATATTATATTTTTGTAATGTGGTGAGAAAATATATTGTTAATACCTATCATGATAGTTATTAATTATTACACCTTAAATTGTTAATGAATGTTTTTTCAATTGTCAATATATTCTTTAAAAAATAAAAATAATTTGATAACTAAACAAATAAAATTTCTTACAATAAGATTTTTTGAGATTTTAAAATGATTTGATAATTTTAAAAGATTTTTTTGTATTTAATTTTTGGGATAATTAATAGGCAAGTCCTTATAGTCTTAATGGGTTTTTAATGAGGTCCCTGTAATTTTTTTTCTTTTTATCAGGTTCTTATACTTTCACATGTTTTTAATCAAGTCCTTATAATTTTTTTTCTTTTTATCAGGTTCTTATTGTTTTACTTTATTTTTAATTAAGTCCTTGTAGTTTTTATTCTTTATTCTATAAATAATAATATTCTAAAAATAAATTATCATAAAAATCTTATGTTAATATTCTTTTAAATTTTTAGTTAAACGAATATATTATTTATTTTTCAATTCTGATTTTTATAATTATAAAATTTAAATTATAATAATAAAATTTTCTAAAATTAGAATATAATTATAAATAATTTATATTTAAGTATAATTAATTATTATGATTAATTATTAATTACTAAATGATTACATTAATTATTTTGTCCAATTATATAATATTAGTTTAAAATGAAATTAATTTTAAAGAATAAAGTTAATAAATAATTTTTTAAAAATGACAAATGACCTAATTAAAAAATAAGTGAAATTATAAGGATCTAATAAAAAGAAAAAAAAATAGAGGGACCTAAGTAAAAACATGTAAAATTAAAAGGACCTGATAAAAAGAAAAATTTTTATAAGGACCCAATTAAAAATTAAATGAAACTATAAAGATCCGGAGATTAATTATCCCTTAATTTTTTGGAGTGGGATATTGTTGCAATTTTTTCTTGTTTTTAGGATCCAACTTTACATTAAACGGAGCTTTAAGAAATTTTCACGTTCCATTTCCTTTAATTTGAGCGTGAAGAACCAAAACTCACGAGCGGGACCCGCAGCCGATTTGCAGTAGTTCTTGGTGTAATCATTGATAAATTCCAGGTTCTGAACAAGCCGACGCCATAAACGATTCTTGCGTCTCAATGCCTCATGATCCTTCTCAACAGTCAACTCTTTCACTAATTCTTAATCAAATCCTTCGTTCGTCTGCATTTGTTATCACGTTCCCATCAGCTCGTTTGCAATTTTTACCTTCATTCCCAAGCCATTAACTCTCCTCACCAACTTTGACCCCAACCCTAGCACCTCCCCGGGATTTTTTTTTTTTAAAAGTAGAATTTTTGTTTTTTCCCCTCTTCAGATCTCTGATTCTCACTTCATTTTCTATCTCCCATGGTATTTCCTAGAAATTGCGTTACGTCTCTCAATTCTCTTTATAAATTTTCGCACAATAGTTCGGTGAAGAAGTTCGGCCATTTTCTCGGATTCTATGCTTCGCAGGCCCGATAGATAGATGTGACTTTCGGAGGGATCTGGGAACCCCGAAGGACGCGTAGAAGGCGATGTTTGGGGCCATACAGTTGGGTTTGTTCGCGGCGTGTGTGGTGCTTTTTGTGCCGATGGGTATGGCAGGCTGGCATTTGAGCCGAAACAAGATGCTCTTCTTCAGCGGCGCCCTGTTCATCACTCTCGCCGTCGGTGTTCACCTTACTCCTTATTTTCCTTCAGTTTCTGATTTCGTCACTTCTGTGTCTTCTATCGTTGTTTTGGACGATCGCGATTCTTGCTTTTCTTTGCTGCACGAAATTGATTGGGAAGTGAGGGCTAGCAGCAACTATGATCCTTTGAATAATAATTCTGTAAATTACGACAAGTCTTGGTATTGGAGGCGATCTAGTTCAGTTGATTCTTGTGAGTTTCAGAAGTTGAATCGGCCCGATGTTGCGGATTTGCTTAATGGGTCGTGGGTCATGGTGGCGGGTGATTCCCAATCGCGGTTCTTCGCGCTTTCGTTGCTAAGTTTGGTTTTGGATTCACAGCAAATGGAATCGGCTCGAACATCGTTGTTTAGGAGGCATAGCAATTATCAGATCGTCGTTAGTGAGATTGGGATGAAATTGGATTTCATATGGGCACCTTATACAAGCAATTTAACTGATTTGGTAATGGGTTTACGTGAAAGTCGCAATTACCCTGATGTTTTGGTAATGGGTTCCGGTCTATGGGATATGCTTCACATAACAAATGCTTCAGATTATGGCATCTCGCTACAATTGCTAAGGAGCTCGATAACGTCACTTTTGCCTACCTCCCCAGAATTTGGCACGGAGGGATCGACAACAGGTTCTGTGTCGGCTAGATCATCACACTTGTTTTGGCTTGGCTTGCCGACTTTGATTAACTCCATGTTGAATACAGAGGAGAAGAGGGAGAAGATGACAGATGTTATGAGAGTTTCGTATGAGAGAGAACTTAAAAAAAGCCAGATTTTACAGCAGTTTGGTGGTCCCTTTCAACTACTAGATATAGGATCACTGAGTTGGAATTGTGGGATCCGATGCACAGATGATGGGATGCATTATGATGGAGCTCTCTATGAAGCAGCGGTTCATATTTTGCTGAATGCATTGCTAATTGTATCTCATCAGAAGCTCTGAAGCATTGGTTTTCTGCTAGAGGCACCCAGCTCCCTTCAAGGGATATACGGTAGGATAACAATTTTGATTGTTAGAGGTTGAATTTTCTGTCCTAGCTTGATCTTTGTCTGATGTTATTGTATATTTCTAATTTTTGTCCTGGGGCCATAGAATTAATTAGGTTAGAGTTGCTATTGTTGCAAATCACATGTCACATTCTTTTTGTTTCTTTGTATTGCTCCTCTGGACGCTAACAGATCATGTAGTCTACAGTTACATAAGCTGGTAGTATAATTTCACATCAAATTCTCATGTCGAGAAATCTTAAATTTCTGTATACACAGTTGATATATGCTTTCCTTTAAAATAAACATCCATTTCTAGTGGTTTATCCACCCGGCTAACTAGAATATTGACGTTTGTCGTAGTCTATTTCCTAGCATTTTTGTTTCAGATGTGAATATATGGTGCATCTGGGATTATTGTGTTTTTCGCAACGCATACAGCTTCACTTCTTCTATCTCTTGACTTGAATTTTGCAGATTTTGCTACTTGTGTGGTCATATCATGTTTAATGCCTTTTACTTATTGCTGATTTGCTTCTCATAAGTCACTGTAGCTGTTCTATCATTGTTCGATATCATTATCTTCCTTTAGTTTATGACCACTGTATATCCCTTTAAGATAGATATATCTGAGCTGCTTACTGTTATATGTCATTACTCTCTAGGAACCCTAACAGTGAGTCTCAACCATTCTCTTCTGTTAGGCTGAGGTTGTAACATACTCAAGTTGAAGCTTGGTTCTGACACAATTGCACATCCAACATGTCTTGCTTCTATCTTAAGCAGGACATGCTATATCAGTTCATAGGTATATGATGAGGAAGTGATAATAGCCAAAGTTTTAGATATAAAGTAGAAATACGTACTAAAAGATTATAGTAGTATGCTAATAAAGTCTAGTAGTATATTAAGTAAATGAGTTTCTTCTCATTTCAAGAAAGAAAAAATATCGTTGGAGGAATTGATATGGATTGGGTGTGAGTTTTTAGGCCCTTGAGTCTGACGGTGACTTCTAGTAGCTACTTTTCATATATTTGGGGCGGAGAAGGAAGAGAGAATGGAAGTCGATCAAAAAGGCATTTTGGTTTATGTTGACTGGAATTTCATGTGTCATATAGGCCTGGCTCAAACGGTATAGGAAAGAGGGTTAAAATTAAATATCGTATTGGTATATAGAAGGATAGAGTGAAGCTGATGAAAGCTTACCAAAAGTAGAAAGCCTTCCAGAATTAGGACCAATTCCGTCTCCGAGTAATTACTGGGGCGTTTGGTTTTTATGTAGTCTCAAAATTGATGACCAAATTGCACTAGAACATGATCAATGTAATTAAATACTCTGACAAGTTGCTCTGAAAAGCCTAGTTCATCTCAAACCCTAAATATTTTTATCACCGATTTTTCAATATTTCGCTAACACGTTTGATTCTTCCTCCGCGCCCCCCCCCCCCTCTGCTTTTTGCCAGACACTTTTGGTTCTCTGAATAAAAATTTACAGGTACAATATGCATGCCAATCATTTAATCTTGATCGAAGATATACACTAGCGTTTAATTATCTGTTTCTGTAAGATGGAAAAAGAAAGTTGTTTATTCAAATGCAAATACGTATGCTATAACTTTCATCGGCTTAAATCCAGCAATAAGAGTTACGTTTATCTATGGTCGATATTAGCGTAACAGTGTGAAAGTAATATATAACCTTTCATTCGTTTGCGTGTGGGCTAAGATAATAGCATGCTCTTCTTGAGCTCAGAGCAATCAAATACTGAGATTGGTATAATAGCAGCTCATTACAAACATGGCTATGCTTTGGGAACTCGCCAACGTGGGATAGCGTCACCCAGTAGCACCTTTAATAATTAGCGTGAAGGCTGCGTTCATCCATTAACTTACCTAACATTCGTTGCCTAACCAGACATGAAAGAGAGACCAACAAAATAATGTGAAAGCGAAATGGGATCATCTTCACCTATATACTATGCAAGCCACCAATCCTCAATTCAACAAATTTATGCAGTCTACACACTATCTCCTCCAGAAACGTAAAAAAATCAAAAGACGTAAAAACAAGCTACCTATATACCTATTCCCTTGAGGGAGCTTTTTTTTTTGGGTGGGGGGGGGGGACATGAAATGGTACTTGGCTATATATTTTGTGATGCATTTATGACTCAAATTGCTTGCCTTCAAAGGTTTGTCCGAAGCTCCATTCCTTGGGAGCGACATTGTAAGATGTCACTGTTAGCCCATCACTACCAGTGACCTCAAATGAAAGAGGTTGGTTCTGTAGTAATGCATTGACATGCCAGTTTTGGCCCCAGTTCCGACCCATTGGAAGCCAACCTGTTCTTGAGCCCTTCACCTTCACAGCCACAATGTCTCCAGCGCCGGCTACATTGCTGATCAGCACTGAGATATAAATCCCAGAACCTGTGACTGTAAAGCGCATTCCTCCTTGCTTTCGGCACTTTATCCTACAGGGACAAAACCCAATCAAAATTAATGAGTCCAGTAAATCCATAATGAAATGACCAAGTTTCCTAGGACATATTGTTTGAAACCCACAAAAAAAATGAGAAGTTCAATTTCTTTTTCACCACGCCAGAATTCATAGAAAATTATCATCTGAATGCAACTTTTGCTTTGGAAACGGAAAAGCTTGTATTGTTTTATCATAAGTTTCTTTTTCTTTTCTAATACTGACCACTAACCTACACCCCACCCCATCCTTAGTACCGGACTAACTTTGGGTGGCTTATCATATATTTATTTATTAGCTATTTGGAAGAAAAGTTATATGTAATTTGCTCCCGAGCTTCCAACTACTTTAACCGTAAATAGCACTTCATATTCTTTATAGGCAGGAATTGTATAAGGATCGTTAACATGATAGTACTAACTGCATTCTATGATCCTGTTTAGTATAAAGCATTAAAAAATAAAAAGTAGAGATTGTGATTGAGATTGAAAAAATCTATTAAAAAAGTATTTACCGTGAGAGATTGCTTTTACATGGAACTAGACAAACGTGGCATAAGATAATACAATGTGGGAATGTGGTATTTCCCAATCCTATCTTTTTGGGTTTGCTTAATCCCATATAACAATCAATTACTCATGCCAAATACTTTTTTCATGATTTTTCTCAATTGCAATCACAGTCTCTATCTCTTATTTTTAATGCTTCATATCAAACGAGACCTATGTACCCAAGACAAGACTGGGTGAGAGAACTGCTGGCATGCTACTCTAACCAGTCTGCCACATATTCATAATTTAATTTAAAGCTTCATCCATGTTTCCTCTCTATCAATTACGCCATTGTCCAATCTTTTATTCAGATTAGATACGTAAATCATATAAATAAGACCTTTACAGAGTCCAACTCTTGATAAATCCAGAGACCCTACGGACAAACCAAGATGCCAATGGCAACAAGGAAATTCCTTAAATTTAGCACTAAATCCCCAAAATCTAAATAATCTAAATCATTTTTATTTTATTCAAAGTTAGAAAAATATTTTCATTATGTGCCCTACTTTTACTTTCTTTGAAATTAAGAGGAAAAAAGGAAATAAAGTAGGGGGAAAACTTGAAATCTAGCCTCTCCAATTGAAAAACCCAAATTGCCCAATTAAACAATCATGGGATCTTCTCAACGAGCTGCTTTCCTCAATTTTCTTCCCAAACCTTTTCATCCCAAGTTTGAGGCATTTCCTTAAATTTTAATTTAAGAATTTCATCAAGCCCACATCTTGCTCTAGACAATCAAACCAAGGCTTTTTATGTTATGCTTAAGAGGCCAACGCACTCCGTCCTTCAAGACTGACCTTAAAGAATAACGAAAACCCTTCGTAAACAAGCATTGTACAAAATATTAGCGAATATAATTTCTCATTCTCCCCCATCTTTGGTGCGTTGCTTCTCCAGCACTGACATTGGAAAACCCATAACTCCTATTCCTCTATGAAATCATTTCACAACCCACGGGGCATGAAAGTTATACAGACACACAGCCTTCCCAGACATTATCAATTCAAGGGGTGTAATGATTTTCAAGGTAAGCATATAAGTTGATCTTCTATTGGTAAAATCTTTTAAATTTAACCGCTATAAAACAACAAAGTTATCTGTATCCCTTCTCAATATTTTCAAAGGTTAGCCGCTGGAAGAAGTTATCTTTTTCCAAAACTCCAGCTGCCTAAGGGAGATGATTGACAGAGTTAAATATCATTGTGGAGTCTTGACGGAAGAAAAAATCAATATTCTAAAAGTTCAGAGTGCTCTGCCCTAGCTCTTTGTTAACGGCTTAATCTTGCAGATCCTCTCTGGCAATCATTTTGCGCATGTTTCATCCCTCCTCCACAACCTCTATTTATTAGATTCATTGCAGCTCCTTTAAATTACACTTCGATCAATGACCATGTCATTACCAACACCTTAAACATTGATGGCTTCATCAAGCACAGCCTTACTGAGAATAGCCAACCTACGCTTCCTAAAGTCTAACAGAATGAGCATATCCACTGTTCTTTCTTTTCCCATTTGAACCTGATCGAAGTTGCTGACAACTAACATAAATTAACGAAAATTTTTTATGCATCAGCATCATAAGTGGTTATAGTTAATTTCAGAGGGGGCTCTCGGGAGTGCATTTTCTACTATCAGGTCTGTTTAAATTTTGATACATTTTCTCTCACATCATAGTTTACACTTGACATGTCGCATTAAAGTTTATTGCGTCGTATACTTGGATTTAAACTCTATATAACCTTTCCAATTGCTCTAAGGTCCCCACTGATAGCAGTAAACAGCTTTCAATGAAATCGGTGAACTCAAGGTTACAATGATCGAGGGACTATACATAGTGACTATATTGGGTCCTTTAAATTTAACCTGTGTAAAGAGTTCTGAGTTAACTACATTCTTTATCTATTTTCTTCATATTAACAACCGCAATCAGGCCCAAAAAAAAAAAAACCACCGGAAATTGCCTTCATAAAAGCATAAAGTGGGCCAGAGGAAACATTATCATTAAAGTAGGTCAGGGACGCGGACTGGGGCGCCGACCCCGAAGTCCAAGCGCAAGTTAGCAAACTGAGCGCATGTTAGCGCGCGAATTCAGCAATCAGTAGCTCACAGAGAACACTTCTTTCAAACACTAAGCAGGATAAATGATAATCAGCTGCAAAAATGATGATAGAATAGGTGCGAAGCTACCTGCGATACTGAACCGGCATGTTCCCAGCTTTCCAAATAGCTATCTTCTCAAAAGCTTCAATCGGGAGCACGAAATGCTTGTTGGGAGGGTTACAACGGCCACCTCCCTCAGCTGTGAAGCCATAGTTGGGCGCACAGAAATTCGTAGCAGTGACGATAATGGAGGTTCCGGGGATACACCAACGAAGGTCATCGACGCAGCGGAGCTCGAAGCAGGCACCACAGATCTGACCCCGCTCGAAGAGAGACTCACTGAGACCCACAGTGCCCATGCCGTAACCAGCTTTGACAAGGTCACCATAGCCGCACGCGCCGCCTACCGCGTCCCTGGGATCTGCGGCGGCGTAGTAAGTAGCGTGCGCAGATCGCCATTCGGAGGGCGACGAGGAAGATGAAGAATGCTGAGCAGGAGAAGTGGTGGAAGAGAAGGAGGAGTAATGGGAAGTGACTGTTGAAGAAAGAGTGAGTAGAATTGTTAGTGTGGCAAACAGAGCAAATGAGATTTCCATGGACATCCCTGAGAGCTAGTGAGAAAGAGAGAAAGAAGGGGAATGCAAGAAAGGGAAAGATAGAGCAAGCTAGTTAAAAGAAGAGAAAGGTGATAAAGTGATTATGCACAGGAGGAGCAACTTTATTATCTGCAAATTTTTATTATTACTATTTTGATTTACTCTGGAAACCGACAATGACAAGAGTTTTTTTTTTAACTGATAAGGTAAATCCAGTATTTTAAAAGGTTAAGGTACGCCCAGCACCCCGAACTATTTATCCAGGTATATCCAGTGGTCTAAAGTAATTTTGAGTGCATCCAGTATTCTAAACTAATTAAAATGGTGCGTCTACATTCCAAGCTAATAAAAATGTCATGTTTAACCGTTACTTTCCTAACTCAGTTTAAAGTTGACCCCAGATATTCTAAATGGTAGATATATAGACATTTGATGTGTATTATTCTTGCTCAAAATTTAATTTATTTCCTTCCTCTTCTTCTAAATAAATTGACTTTTGAGTAAGAATAATACACATCGGGTGCCCATATATCTACTATGTAGAATATCTGGGGTCAACTTTAAGCTGAGTCAAGAAAGTAACAGTTAAACATAACATTTCTGTTAGCCTAGGATATGGACGCACCATTTTAATTAGTTTAGGATAATGGATGCACTTAAAATTACTTTAGGCCACTGAACGCACCTGGGTAAATAGTTCGGGGTGGTAAGCGCACGTTAACCCTATTTTAAAATGTTTTCTCAGATATATTTAATATATTAAAATATTTTATGGTACATCTAGCACCTTAAAATATTTTTTAAGGATACCCAACATCCTGAAGTTTTTTTTTTGTCATGGTATTAGATGCACCAAAAAATATTTTTATATTTTTGGGTGCTAGACACCTAAAAAAATACTACCTCCAATCCTTATTATAAGACCCCGTTTGACTTTTTGTTTGGTTCTAATTATAAGACCTCAATCCATTTTGTCTCTCATATTTATGCATTTTTTTCCAAAATAACCTTCTAATAATGATAGTTCTAGCCAATACACTTAATTAGCAAGGATATTTTAGGAATGACAACACTTATTTATTACAAATAACTAACTTAACTTACTTCCTTAATCTTCTCAAATAAGTTAACTGGGTCTTATAATTAGGACCAGAGGTAGTATTTCGAAATATTGGATACACCAAAAAATATTTTACAGTACTGGATACACCTAGAAAAATATTTCAGGGTACTGAATGTATCACAAAATATTTTAAAATGCTAAATGCACATAAGAAAATACTTCGGGATGATAGATATACCCTTAGCCCTTTTTGTAATCAAAGTTCATGCTAACATCAATATCCATTAATTAGCATCAATATTTATAGAATATAAAATGTAAAATTTTAATAAATTATACGTGAGAGGACTACGGGAGTGATACTATTGAACTAATACATCAAGTTAATTAAAGTTTAGGACCACAGTATTTCAAAATCTCAATTTTAAAAAAAAGGTTTTTAAGAAGCAGATATAATAATTTACGAAATCTGTAAATTATCCTCTCAAGCACCTTTGAGGATCATTACCTGTAAAGTCGTACAATGTTGCTCTCGAATGTTTCCAATGGCCTCCTTCTCTAGTGGTTTTTTTGACCTGACTTCTCTAGTGGTTAGAGTTGGGGTTTTTTCATTATATAACTTTTACTTTAGTTAAATAAAAGGTTTAATAAGGTTGGAGAAAAGTATGAGTCCAATTCTAACCTGTCAAAGACGTAAAGCTAGCTTTGAATAGTTTTGATACGTATGTCTTCAGGGAGGCAATGTTTGCGCGGATTGCCTTGCAAACTTGAGTTGGGGGGACTCTTCAGTGTTCTTGAGAGTTCTCGTAAAAAAACAGGCCCTGACATCCTGAAGTTAGGAGTGAGATTAAGGCACCGTTTGGATGCACTTGCAAACCATGATTTGGAAGCCCAAATCATGGTTTGCACAAAATGCTATCCAAACACCCCTCTCAAAAACCAAAACCATGGGTTTAAAAAAACAAAAAAAATTTGCTTTTGGAGAAAAAAGGGAGAGTGTGAGAGCCTATAGGATATATATCTTGTTATTTTTTTTATAAACATATTTAATCTTATATTTTATAAATATATATACATATTAATTATTTATTAATTATATTATCTTATGTATTATTAATTATGTTAATAAAAAATATATTATTAACAATTTTATTCCTCTAAATTAAAATATATCATAAAATCTATTTTTTCTGTAATTATCATATTAACTTATTTCTTTTTTTAGTAATTTGTATATATAAAAAGTGCTTCTGATAACAACTATCCAAACACTCTCACTTCTCAAAATTACTTTTTCATAAAATCTATTCTTTCCAGAATCTATTCTCCAGAATCACTTTTCCAAACCACGGTTTGGTTTCATTCAAACACACCCTAAACCTGTGACCTTTTACTTACAAGAAAAGCTTACATGGCACTAAGTTACAAGATCATTGGCTTCCCAGGCATGATTTTAAAATAATAATATTATGAGTTGTTGCCCTTTTACTATTTACTAGTCAAAAAGGGATTAATATAAAATTGAGTTCTTTAAATTTGTTTTTGTCTCTTAAGTTTTTTTTCTTATTTAAGACGTTAGTTCTTATAATCTAATTTAAGAGACTAAAACTTATTATTTGAAATTTAGGGGGTCAAAACTAAAATGAGAGAAAATTTGAAAAACCAAAAATTATATTAGCCCTTAAATAAAATTGTCTTTTAATAAATAAATAAAAAAAGGGCTGCTTCGATTTCTTCATGGGACCAAATAAGATTAACAAAGCTTTGGACTTTAATTTGTGGGAATCATTTTTCTCACGATTCAGCTTCTGGGATACTGAAGAATTGGTCCTGTTGTTACTAAGACCTCAGAGGTCGAACTTTGAGGCCAAATCGACAAATGAGTACTTTTGGATTTCTTCATTAATTCTGTTCTAGGATTGTGAATCCAAAGAAAAACAACCATAATCAGATTTTGAGTAAGAGGAGCTCCATAAGGGTGGGTCTGAGTATGGCTCAAAGTAATACCAAAGACACAGATTGAATGGGTCGATATGCCTGTTTTAGTGTATGATCTTTGTGTACAACATAGAGATCTAGCTTGCCATCGCCAGGTCTTTGTGCTGGTGTGCCTCACTTTGCTTCTTCTTGTCATCTGGATCTGAATCTTGTGATTATTTAACTACTTTATGCCTTTTATTATTAGTTTGTTTTGAATGGATTCTGTTGGAAGTTTGAGATGATTTAGTTTGTTGTTACTGTTAACCATTTAGTTAGTTGGTATATATTACTCCTCCGGTCCTTAATATAAGATCTATTTAACTAATTTAGTTAGATTAAGGAAGTTACATAAGTTAGTTAACGATAAGAAATATGACATATTTTTCCTAAAATGCCATAATCATTTTTTTTAATATCGTCCCTCCCTCAATTATTTGATTATGGTTGAAGGAGTATCCACAGGGGTAATTTAGAAAAAATCGATAAATATGAGAAAGATATCTTATATTTAGGATTAAAATTAACTTAACAATTAAGTCATATATTAAGGATTGGAGAAGTATATAAGACTATTTATCATTATAGTTAATATAACCAGGGAGAATTACAGTGAAATTCTAAGGGAAGAAGATAATTACCAATAAGCCCTAATAAGAAGTAAACAGTTGTTATTTTCTAACTTATCAATATCATTAAAAAAAAATAGTAATTGTGGCAAATTTTTCATATAACTATCCGTCTTATGAGTTCTCAATAAGCGTTGGGTCAGTTTTCAAGTTTCAACTAAGAAGAGTTTATCTGTCGTTGTAACATCATCAGGGGCTTGTGATCATCGCTTCATCTTTACTTCATTTTTGTTCACCTAAAAGATTCCATGAAGATGCAAATATGTCAAGGCCAAGAAAAAAGGTGTCAAATATGTCCATAATTCAATAATCACAATTTTGCATAAATGTTTTTTTTTTTGCCAATATTTTGCATAAATGCTTTGTCATCTTAGGTCGTAGCATTTCAAGGTTTTCCCTATGAAAGAGAAGGAAAAGTGCCGTGTGTGCATTTCTGATTGAAATAGCATAAAATTATCTAGGTCTAATTTGTTTTGAAATAATTTTACAAAATTGCTCTTGAAAACAAGTTTTGGAAGGAAAATTTTTTTTGGTGATTGTTCTAAAAAATTGCATTCGAAAACATAACAACTTAGCTAAAACAATTATTCTTAAAATTAACTTGGATCATTAATAGAAGGCAAGAGACATAATAAAAAATGCAACAACAGCAGATGAATAGAGGATTGAGAAATAACGTGGATAAGTGTAAGAGGTAAAGTAAAAAAACACAACGTAAGTATTTTTATTGATTAAATTCGTGTTTATAATCCTATAAAGTAGAATTAAGTTAATCAGCATAATTCCCCAAAAAAAATTGGCACAATCAACCTTTTTAATTAAAATTATTAAAATTTAATGATAAATATTTAAAAATATATTTGTTGTATCTGAGATTCCAACACCAGCCAGGAGGGGCAATCAAATTAAAAGCAATCAATGGGCATAATTTATCTACATATACTCCTCCTGTCCTTCATATAGAACCTAATTGTTGAGTTAGTTTTAGTCCTAAATATAAGACCCATTTCTTATATTTATCAGTTTTCTCTAAATTACCCATTTGAATACTCTTTCAACCATAATCAAGTAGAAGAGGGAGAGGGGGTATTAAGAAAGATGATTATAGTGTTTTAGAAAAAAACGTGTCACATTTTTTATAATTAATTAACTTATCTAACTTTCTTAATCTAATCAAGTTAGTTAAATGGGTTTTATATTAAGAACCGGAAAAGTATTACGTAAGCTCAACAGGATTTTGATTTGTCAATTTGCCACACAACTAAGTCTCTGCAAAGTAAAAATCAAATAAAAGCAAATAGAATCTTATGTGGCTTGGACTAAACAAGGGGGCCTACCACAATAAAAACAATATGAAAATTAACATCAACAAAGCAGACGAAGGAAGTGCCTATGCAGCAACTCTAAAGCTCATATTTTTTTATTCATTCACTGACAATAAAATCAATAAATATGAATTCTCTGTAGTTTATACACAATCATGCATTCAGAGAGGGAAGAACACAAAACAGTGTGATTATATGCATATCTCACTCTCTCTAGCCATCACGCCCATCTTTTTGTTTTTTTGTAAATTTTTCTCCAAATGCAAATATGCTGTTATTTTCTTGACGGCAAGAGATCTTGCGAAAGATCAAACCCGCGGAAGACACCTTCTATCACAACGCCAATAAAATGCTAACTTAGATCTTTAATATACGATTTAATTAACTAATTTAGAGAGATTAAACAAATAATTAAATTAGTTATTTATATAAAAAAATATGTTGGTTTTTTTTAAAATATCCCATTAAATCATTTAGATTGAAACTACTTTTTTTCTGTAATTTTTTCTTTTTTTTTTTAGTTGAGTTTCTCCGGTATCCAAGGCCAATGCCATCTTTCAAGCTTTTCAACGGGTCCAGACTAATCCGGAGCAGCACCTATGAAAGATCCCTTAATGGATAGCCTACCTACCACTCCACGCTGCTATGTTCCCAAGCGGGATGGAACTCTTCATCTTAGTTAAACTAAAACGATCCCACAGCCAGTCAATCTAAGCGTTCAGTGGTCTGTAAATTTTTCTTTGAATGCCAACATGCAATTATTTTCTTGACAATAAGAGATCCTATGAAATATCAAACCGATGGAAGGTACCTTCTATCACAAGGCCAATGAAATGCTGACTTGAATCCTTCATATACAATTTAGTTAACTAATTTAGGTAGATTAAGAAAAGTAGTTAAATTAGTTATTTATAAAAAAAAATATGTTAGTTTTTCTAAAATATCCTATTAATTCATTTGGATTGAAACTAACTTTTGATGAAATATGTTAGTTTTCCTAGAATATCTTATTAAATCATTTGGATTGAAACTTCCTTTTGATGCAAATTCCTTCAATATCTCAATAGGATTAGTGTGGATAAATAAGATGAACAAAATGGATTGAAGTTTTATATTTAAAAGAAAAAAAAAAAAACCTTCCTACTAGCTCTTATATTAAGGAGATATACCCCAGGCCCTAGCAAATGACAGGCGAAGAAAGGAAATGCTGAATCCTCCACAAAAATTCAGAAAACCAGTAGAGCTCAACCTTGACTGATTTCCTTCTCGTATGCCTTGCATGCATCTTCTGCCTTTTTTATAAATTTTTTGGTCAAATTAATCAACCTGTAGGAAGGGAAATGTATCAGAGAATCGAAACGAAGCAATCTTGTTGGCCACTTACCCGGAAAGGTTTGTAACTTACTTCTTTCTCCAATCTTTTTTCGTCATCCTTGGCGAGACTTGAATACGGCTTTTTGATAGCATCCATTGCATGTAGAATAACATTCTTAGATACAATTTGCAGTGAATTATGGTACAGCTCCACTCTGTGCGTGTGTGGGGGGGGGGGGGGTAAGGGGAACAGCCATTGTAATTCAGTATAAAACCCTTTGGACACCGGCCTGAAGATCTAATTGCATCGTTCTAAGAAATTTTGAGGACTCTCACTGTTCCAACACCTTAAAAAGCTAAACATCAGGTAATAATTTAGGATAAGAATATGTTGGGCTTTAAGTGTAAAGCATGAAAGGAAAAAGTATCCACTAGGATCCTATTTAATTAACTCTTCAATGTTAAGAATGAAAAGAGTAGCATAAAGTATTTGAGGGGTCTCCTATTACCAGCCAAAGTTGAACCAAATGAAAAACTGATGAAAACATTAAGCAAGAGCGAGAATTCTGGATAACTTGAGCTGAAGCCTTTCCTTGAATTATTTAAAGCCAAAAATTTTCTGTAATATACATTTACAACTTAAAGAGAAAATCAAGATTTAAAAATTTATTACCTAAATTTGTCAACACTGGAAACTCGGAGAAAATTCAGGTCATTTTTCAACTTTACCAAGGACAACGTAAGATGAAAGCCTGACCTATGTGCACCGATCTGAATTAGGCCCTCGCAAAGCCACATGAAGACCGAAGCTGTTGGCCAGCCCAATCATCTACCCTGGTCCAGGTGCTGTGAAGTTTAGAGGGGCATTGGGGCATTGTTCTCTAGATGTTTTATTGCAAAGATAGAGTTGTTTGTGCCACTTTTTCTCAACAATATATGCATACAGATCAAGGGAATGAAACAGCTTTCCTCCATACATTTTTTCGGGCCCTTCTAATGCTTTGCCAGGCATCTCTTCACATGACTTGCCGACCAACTTATTCATAGCCTGAATAAATGCTCAACACAGAGATATAGCAGCAATTATGCGTGTAAGCCATAAATTCTGGTTGAAGGGGAAAAAGTCGAAACCACATATAAATTGAAAAGGTATTATTAGCTTACCTGCATATGCTCGTTGGTCAATCTGATCGTCACATGGTGAAGTAAGTTAGTAAGTTACAGTGAGCGAATTTTTTATAGTCCTTTAGCATATCCAAATGGACTTCATTCTGATAGGCATCAGTGAGAATATGTAGATTCAGAACTCACGGTGGAATAACAGCAATCAATCTTTCACCACCCGCTTTAGGATTTAACCCCAAAGGAGAGGAAACAACGGCGTTCTCTAATTGTTCAAGTGCCTGTAGAAGTGATTGGGATTCAACTGTCGTACTAGTTTAGCAATTAAATCTCAACAGAAACTTAGACATGATCTCCAATGGCCGGGGATTACAAGTGAAAATACAAGTAAATGGAAATGTTGTAAAATTGGATAATCTTCGTTGCCTTGAAGTCCATGATAAAGAACACAAATTTGGGGAAAAAAAAAAACTTTGAATAAGATCCAGACTGCTAGGTAAACCATAGAAAGCTAGAATAAGAACTGGTTCAGAAAATAATTAGCCTAAAGATAGGTGTATGCATGCCTGTCTGTTTCAGTAGAGTACCAGTGGATTATATGGATTTACAGATAAGGTCTTTGGATCTATGACTGAAACAACAGCGATTCGGTTTAAAGGCATCTTTACCCCTCCAGTTTTTACAATTATATGGTCAAACATTCCTGTAGAAACATATCATCATGCATGTACAAGTTGATTATTAACAATCACAGCCTAAACCCTAAAATATACCCAGAGATGCCTTTCCTGTGCGCATCTTGTTTAATTCTCCTGATAATGCAGCCATTGCCGCCTCCTTCTACCAAATAGTGTTTTCCTTAATAGTAGGCCCGACATCTGGAGGAACTTCAATTGTACTAACATCAGCCTCTAAGTTATACAAACCCAATAGCTAACCCAATTTTAACTAAGACAATATGTTTTGCGCAGAAGGAAGTTTAATTAGGCAAGTCATTGGCATGCATGAGAGATCACGACCGTAAAGGGCAGAGCTCCGAAGGAGAAGAAGGTTTCTGTAGGAGAATGCACGTCTAATGAAGGTGGACATCAGTCATCTTTGCTCTTCTTTCTTCCTACTCTTGAGAACTCAAGTTCTTCAATTCACCAGGTTTATTCTGCACGAATAAATGAATCTATTCAAATATTCTGACAGCCTAACCTATAAAGAATGTTCAAGGAGGTTTAGGCCATTAGTGTGAGCACATTTATTAAAAATGAGAAACAATTTAGTCATTAAAATCCCGCACGGAAAGCATGGCGCAGTTTAGAGTTCAAGAATGAAGAGAAGAAAAGGATAAAAAAACCTCCTACTGTTGCTTGCTGTGATGATGTGATGTTGCTGCCAAGCTGTCGCCGCCGGCGGCTGCGGAGGAAATTGAGTGTGCATAGTGAAGCCAGAAAGCCTTACTGACTCCTGAAGGTCAGTGTGTGGCGCACTCGTGAGAATTAAGCAAACTCAACCAAACCTTGTGTTTATCCTTTTCTTCTCTTGATTCTTGCAACGAAATAAGCCTTACTGACAAACAAGCAGGGAACAGATGAAGTGGGAAATAAATTCAGATATAGATTCAAAGCCAAACTGAACAAATCGATGTCATCGGATTTTGAGAATAGAGAAAGCCCTAAGGTTCAGGCCTTCTGCAATACAAGCAAGATAACAACCACGCAGGGCTGACAACGGTGGCCGGCTTCCGACGGCAAGCTCGACCAAGCTGTGGAGTGCTTGGCCATGCGACACTGGGACGCAATAAAACAGGATCCGCTGCTGGCCTGCTGCTTAGTCCTCCGTCCCTTCTTTGTTACTTGTTATAAGATGCTCCTCCGGTCCTTATTATAAGACCCAATTTGACTTTTTATTTGGTCCTAATTATATTACCCAATCCATTTTGTCTCTTATATTTATGCATTTTTTTCCAAGATAATCCTTTTAATAATGATAGTTTTAGCCAATATACTTAATTAGCAAGGATATTTTAGAAATGACAACACTTATTTATTATAAATAACCAACTTAACTTACTTCCTTAATCTCCTCAAATAAGTCAATTGGGTCTTATAATTAGGACCGGAGGAGTATTTTTAATTAAATCGTGTGATTTAAGAAAACAATTAAAATTAGTTAAAAGTAATTAATATGTAGCAAATATAACTTTTTTCCAGTTACATCTCTATACATAAATGGGTTGATATGAAAAAGTAATAGTGAGATAAATAAATAAATAAAATGTATTAAAACATTAAACTAGAGTTAAAATAGTAATAATGTATTAAATGTTTAGAGAAATTCAAAAAGAATTTTATAAAAAAAGATAAACAATTTTATAATAAGAGACAGAGAGAGTATTAGTTTTGTTGCCGTTCTAATTCATTCTTCATTTTATTATTATTGCTTTATATCTATATTTTTAAGTTATATGATATCCTATTCATATATTAATGATTCTATGCTATGTGTGTGTCTCTCATATCATACCAATAGTTTATTTTAAAAAAAACCTGATCAAATAAGATTGAAAATGTTATTTAAACTTTTGTTGAGATTTGAGAGATCCTTGGCCCTTTGCTTTAATGAATGTTAATGCTGGGTGGTTTGGTCTTGTTGTTGGCTTTTTTGTCTCATGCCACACTGCTAAAAATTAGCGATGTAGCTAACTTCCAAGTAACTTCAAAAATTGAAAACAAAAATGTCAAATTTAAGAAGCTAGAAACGTATCGTAGGCATAAGTTTATGAAAGAAGAAAATACTGTGGAAAATAAACATTCTTGAATTTACGCAAACTTTCAACACTAGAGCTCTGTTTACTAACACAAAACAGCTGTTGGCCTCCCATTCTCTTCCTTACCTTGCTACGAACTTTTAATGGCATGCAAGTTGCCTCAAAATAAAAGGGACAGACGTCGTTTCGTAAAGGGGAGCCAAGCACCAAGAAAAAAGCTACAAAATTCACAGTTAACTAAGGGAGAAGAACATGGAGAATCACAAGCACCCATACAACGACTACAAAATACCACAAAGTAGATCTTATAGTGTATATGCATAAAATTTCTGGAAGGGGGGAGAGGCAAAGGAAAATTTGTGGATTTTTTCTTCAGCAAATGTAAATAATCAAAAAGCACCATAACAAAAATTTGCACAGATGGGAGAAATGTCAAAATTTTCCTCCAAGTCACTCCGTAAGTTCAGAGAGAAACAAGGAATGAAGAGAAAGACATGGGAAACTCACATTACATAGATAAACCACATATCCCCTCTTCCTCCTTAAATTACAGCTGAGTTTTAGAGGATTCTTTATACATAATTCCCACACTTCACAGCTCCCGTTCCTTCCTCATTCATACCAACCGAAACGGCTGAAAAAGCGAACTTCTGTGAAGAAGAATATCAGTCATTTGAAATTCATTACAAGGAAAGGCGAATCCGTTGTTCTTCCCTTTCCTCTTTAGTTACTGATGAGGCGTGGTTTTCCCTCTCTGCGATGCACCTCTTGTATGGCACAAACCCTTTCCCACACTTCTTCAGATCAAAAATAGCTTTAGTATCTCTTTTGGCTTCCATATCTGGCTTTTCATCCTTATCCACAGAAGAGCAAATGTTTGGATTAGTCAAATATCCTTCATTTATAACTTCTACATGTTCAATTTCCCTAAGACTGGAGTCTGGTTGTTTTCCTTCATGCACCTTCTTGGGCAGTGATCTGATGTGGGGAATACTCCAACATGGAACAAAAGAAGCAGAAGCACCTTCTGCAAGCCCTGAATTTCCACTCTCAAAATGCATGTTATAGACAGCACGGCGTGTTCCATTATGCAAATTATTCTCATCACGTTCCACATCCCGGTCAGGAGATTTCATTGGCAAAAAATTTGAGTTAAGCAACTTGCATGCTTCCATTGTTGGAGAGGATAGCCCGCAGTTATCTGTTACCAATAAAGTCGTCCCAAAAAGCTTCAGAATCCGAGCAGATGATTCTTCTGCAGCGTCTTCCTTGGTAGATATGCTTTCTTTCCGGATATATTCATGCTTTTAGATATTAAAATATGCAAAAGAATATCAAACCATACGGAACTTTTAAAGTGAAATTCAGAATTAGACCTAGCTTAAGAGAGATAAACCAGAATAATCCAGAAGAAACATATATATTCGAAATGGGATGAGAAATCTGCCTAAGATACTTGTCCTACCAATTTCTTAAACTGAGCTTGTCAAGACAGTTTACTCTTACTAGACTATACAAGCAATGATAAGTATTCAACAAATCAAAACAAACTAGTTAGTAACTATACCATAAGTGGTTGCTCATCAGGAGTTAGATCAGCATTTAGTCCAGCCGATGGTGGAGACCCATCCTCCTCCAATTGTAGGATTTCAGGTTCAGCAACTACGAAGCTGTTGGTATGAACAGTGCTAATGGATGAAACTGGGGACGAGCTTCCATTTGGTGTGTCTGAATCAGAGGAACCAAGGGTGTCTGAACCAACTGCAGATAACACTGACTTGGGAGATTGGTTTTCTTGGTCAAAATCTAATGATTTCAGAGAATTAGACATCATTAGCTGTTTTGGTATGGAAGCTTCTTTGTTAGGGAGCTCCACCAGCTTACGAGGGTACGGATGCATAGGCTTTCGTTTTGGACGTGGTGGTGGAATTTCAATGGACTCCATCGACTCTGTACTGTTCCCACAAGGATCACGAAGAACCTAACACAGACAAGACAAAGGAATCAGAGAGAATTCAACCCAGTCGATCAACTTTTCAACTACAAGGAAGTTTGTACTTGGCACATCCTCTAGTCATCAAAAGTTTTAACTTACATTCATATATGGTTTAAGCTGTATACAAATTATTGAACAGACTGGGAAACGAAATAGAGCAGTAAACCTTAGAAAAGAACTTCTGAGCATGACTTCGAATCTGAACTGTGGTCTTTGTGCCAACATGTTCTGTGGTTAAAAAAAAAAAAAGGATTCCAAGGCTTAGACCAAGTTCAACAAACATCATATGATCATTCATGTTTATATTTCCCTGCAAGAGTTGATAGCATACTGGCCTTAAAATTTAAAAATTATAATTCTAAGGATACCTTCAATCTTTCGCCATGCCCGCCCGTACAATTTTAAAGCTTCAAGAAACTTCTTGTGCTCTTCATCTGTCCATCTCTCTCTTTGTTTTGTGATAGTATACGGTTTCCTTACCTAATGAGGCAGGCATGAAAATTTTTTTAGACAGATATAACATAGATGAGCAATCCAATATTGTACAAGCTGCATGAAGAATCCTGGGTGAACCTTTGGAGCATAGTCATTCGCACAAGAAAATTGATCATTTAGATGAGCGCGTGCAACGGGATGTAGTCCAGAGCTCAAAGATACTCCATTTCCTACTGGAATGCTGCCGTGAGGTCTGGTGACTCCATTTTGATCCTACATCCAAGTTGAAGAGAAAAAACTCACAATCCAATTATCGAGGATAAAGTGAATGATTCCTAATTTAAAAGACGCTCTATAGACTTCCTTGTAATAATCCGGGATAAAATCTCTTTCAAGTAAATCATGCACTTCCCATCAAGAAATGCTACAAAGACCCATAAAAAATCACAAATACTTGAAATAATCCAAATATGCCAAGTTCTCTCAACAGCAGATATTAAAAGGGGGGCGGGGGGACCGTCAGCAAACTCCCCTGATGAAGCTAAACGTTTTTTTTTTTTTGGAAGAAGAAGAAGATAAGCCCATTAAATCTACCCAATTTCTGAAGTATAAATAACTTGTCACTGGAAAAGGTAAATTCATCAGACTAAGTTCACCGTTCCCTTCCAAAAAATATTACGAAACATATCCCGCCCAAAATCGGGGAACATATTGCTGGAAATATGAGCTTACCCCATAAACGCACAAAAACAATAATCACCAAGAGACTATAAGAAATGAAAACAGAGCAGAGCACATATGATACATACATGAATGGCCATGGCTGCAGAAACCACCCGCCGGTCAAACAGTGCCAAACAGTCTTTAACTTCGCCGAAAGATTTGATTGTCTTTCCTTATCCACAGAATCACAAGACCAGATAGGAACCAACCTTTTCCTATTCAAGTACCCAAATAAAAATACCACGAATAAATCTAAAACACCAGATTTCTTCTCTCCTATACAATCAATAATTCCATACGCAAATGCACGCGTCTCACTATTCGAAAATCATCGAACAAATTTTTAAACTGTTTCCCAACTCAGAACTGCATAACCCTCGCAACTATCCGAAAGTGTCAAAGCTGATTAGCCAGATGAATCCCCCATACCCATTCCATGGTTTCATCCACACAAATCAAGAGCATCTTGTCACAAGAATGCCAAAAATCCATCAAAATCTTCTTTCCAGAACGAAAAGAAGCAAGAAAAATACGCTATGGACTCAGATACTGCGTAGCAGCAGCAATGACCCAGTGAAAGGATTAAACCCCGATCAACGCACCCAACCCACCGAAAAAAACAGCCTGAATGGTTCAAGAGTAAAAATTGAAAAAGATATGGACGCGACAAAACAATCAGCAAAGGAACCCAATACTATCCTCCCGAAAATCAGAGATCTCGAATCTTGTATCCTCTGTGATTCGTTCGAGAATAATAGACCTTTGTGTTTAGACTCTCTAACGGGCACAAATAATAAAAATTAGGGAGAAAAAGAAAGACAGAGAGATGAAAGCTTCGAATTACAGAAGGCGAGTGGAGGAGGAGGAGGAGGAGGAGGAGTTGAAGGGACAGAGAAGAGGAAGACTATGGGCAAGGGAAATGAAGATTGCGGGGAAAAAAATAGAGGCAAGGGAGGGATGCCACGTCAGATTTGAATTTCTCGTATTTTTGTGAGAATAAAACTTTCGCCGTCGAAATCTCGAGAACTTGATGCCATCTTGTGGCTCACATCGAAAGAGCGCCTCGGACGTGGCGTTTGGCTGTCGCGTCTCTTTCTCTTTGCATTTTTTTTCCCCCCTGCTGAGATTTTTATATTTAAATTTGGTGGGGGAATAAAATACGAGCGCATTGTGGATAATTTGGATCCAATTCATACTCGCAATTCTGCAGTCTTAGCTTTGGTACGCGCTTTAAGAAAGTGCCACGTGTGCCGTTTATGCGTGCACAGTTCACTCGTTGGCCAATCTTCATCCACACCCTAATAGATCAGTGTAGATTTATTAGCTTTCGTTCTCTTATTTAAGAGAATAAAATTGAGGCATCATTATCATATGGTTGAATTAGAATTTAAATATTTCGGATTTTTTCTATTTTATTTATGTTTTCATTTAATTAAAATTTAAATATTTATTTTATTATAATTTGAATATTGTATAGTCTTTACACTGTTCAGTAAAAATAAAACATAAAAATATATTAGTATATGCCAATGAATTTAATCCTCTTATATTTTTTCTCTCTCACCCAATATTTAAACACGAATTACAAAATAAAAATATTTTTCTAACCACTAAATTAAAAATAAAAATAATTTATTTTTTCAATATGAATAATTATTTAACCAATAAAATATGAGCGGTCTATAAAACAATTTGTTTCAATTTGCAAATGTCCATAGACAATTTTATTGTTCCACATCACATAAATACTTTATTGCATTATATAATTATGGTCAAAATATCATCGTCAAGGTGATCCCAATGAGAATTGTCCTTAGTTACAAAACATATATAAATTATTCTTATAATAATGTCTTTTGAAATATTATAGTTTACCTTGAACGTGCAATGGGGCTTTTTCAAAGTTAGTTATCTCCTTTCTAATTTTTTTAACACAATTATTTAGAATGGGATATTGACATGTTATTAAATTATTTTTTAAATTGTCTTTTTATTTTGCCAGATAATTTCTTCACATTGTCACAAGCCTGTCATTCGTATTTTGATTGAGAAATTTTAATTTAAGAAATCACAACAAATACTAACATTATATCTCACTTTCTTGAAAACAAAAGTATAATTGTTAGTAAAATTATCTACTTGATTTAATTACTTTTAAAATAAAATAATATTTTTATGAAAGTGAAATACTAGAATTTATGCAAGGGTTTAAGGTTCAACCACTCATTATATAAGAAATAATTTTTGTTGTCAAAAAAATGATAATAATTTTTAATGAATCCCTTGCAAATGTTACGAATTTTAAAAGCTGTTCAAATATTTCATGTTTTCAAATATTAGATTTATCCTCATTCCTTAGACCCAAAAAATTAGAATTATCCAGCCACTATTCCATAAATCCGGCAGAAAATTTGTGTCGTAGAAAATCGAAGGAAAAGAAAAGAAATGAAAAGTGCGATGGGGACAGGTGTCCATATCATAGAGCGAGTGGTGGAGCAACCACAGAGAGGGAGAGAGTAACAACAAGCGTCGAAACATAAACAAGATATTTTAAATAAATGGATAATTATTTAATATCCTGATAAAAAATATACTCTAAAAAATAAATCGGTCATTTTGTGACGAGGAGAGAAGGATAAAATATCTGGTGGTTCTAAAAAAATAACGAGACTTTCTAGTTGCGCTTTTCACCACGTCATCGCCACCTGCCGCCACGACCATAATCATGAAGCCACGTGTGCGAGGGAGACAACGCCCCGGTTCGTTTCAGACCACTCGTTTTCCGTCCTTTTTCACAAATAAAAAAGTTAAAATCCTAGAAAATTTCTAGCCACATACTTTTCAGTGTGGATTTTTCTTTTTTTCTTTGGCTTAGAAAAAAGGGCATTTTATGTAGTGCCAAGTGTACCATAACGCGGCCCGTCGCATCAAAAAATAGACAAAGCATATAAATATTCTCAGACCAAATTAGGATACATTTATTTACGTAGACCCCGAGAGACCATCCACATTGTTCTTGCCCATGTTCTTGCCCAAGGAAATTTCGGTTGGCTGATACTCATTCCGATTCAAAATATAAGTTAAGTTTTTTTAAAAAAATTGTTTTTTATAAGATAATATTTATTTTTATCCAAACATTTAATGAGATTTTTTTTATTTTATCCATATATTCTCTTTCCTCTTTAATTCATTTATTACATCTTTTACTTATTATCTTTATTAATAAAGATATATTAGGAAAAACAAATATATGCCTTACATATTTATTATTTTAAATTGATTTTAATTAGTTTTTTGATAAACGTAATAAATAAAGTTTAGTTTATATTTTGAATCGGAAGAAGCACTAGATAATTACTAATTTGCAATAAGTCTCATGGAATTTTGAAATTTTACTGCACTTTTTTTAGTTAAAATAAAATTAAATTTTATGGATGAAAAGACGAAGTTATAGGGGTAATATTGTATGAGTCACAAGCTTTTGCCTAAAAATTTAAATTATAGTAATACCTTCTTTTTACTATTAAAAATTAATATTGATTGTTAAAATAGTGATATTGACTGTTAATATTTTTAACAGTAAGATAATATTGATATGATTTTAACTTGTTAAAACAAATTTGTAAAAAAAAAATTTGAATACCTAGTATTCCTAAATGTAAACTTTATGGAACAAATTTGAACACTAACATGTCAAGAAAATGGTTAAAAAAATAAACATAAAATTTAAAATAGTGCAAAAACGTCATGACTATTAAATTAATTAATGTTGATCATTTAACAAATAAGTCCCACGTGTGTGGCATAACCTTTTCACTTTGAGGAACCATCTTTGCAATTGCGAGGTCTTCTACAACACATGCCTCTTTTGTTTCTTTTTTTTTTTTAATTTCTTCGCCATCAATAGATATTATCAAGGGATTTGGATATGTTGATTTCTGTAACGATGGATGAGTCTTCATCAGCCTCCTCTTCATCTCTTCTTAGCACATGGTTAATTTATAACAAGGGTACCCTAATTCATAGCTTATTAACTCCCAGATAAAATCACTAATAGTGAAGAAACTAAACAAAATGGCGGCAGAGGAGCAAGTAGCGGAGGGACGTCTTCAACATGGAGGAGGTATAACCATTGAGTCTTGCTGAAGACCTAACAGTAGCGAATAGGGCTGCTGGGGGTTGAAAACGTCGTGCAATGGGCATGGAAATTGCTCTCTCCGTCTCTTTTTCTAAGTAAGATAGATAAGGCCTCATTACACAAATCAAAAAATTAGATAAAGATAATAAATAAGTAAAAATTAAAAGTTTTTTTTTCAAAATATTCTTATTTATAAGGGGAGAGAATATAAGAAAGACAATAAAAAATTATAATAATAAATATAATTATGAAAGAGAAAGAACGCGTGATGGAGAGAGATAATGATTTGAAAAATAAGATAATAAATATATTAAATATTAAAATAAATAATTAATGGAGGTAAAATAGGAAATTTGCTACAAAAATTTAAGACAACTTGCAAATATTGTTCATATTTAGAGATAAGAGGGAATGATAATTGTTGCTTATAAAAAAAGACAAAGGGAGTATTTGTTAGACAGTCAATATTACTCCTCTGATCCTATTTATAGGATAGAGAGAGAAATTTTTTTTGTCTTATTTATAAGTCACTTCATTAAATTTTCAGTATGAATATACTATTTTGTCCTTCATTTATTATATTATAGGTAATTATTTCTTTTGAAAGGTGTATATGTTAAATATAGGTAAAATTGAAAAATTGTTATATTTTAATAGAGAGTTAATGCATTTTAAGGTTTTTCTTAGCCTGTGTGAAACAAGTTAGAAGTGCCTTATAAATAGGACCAGATGAGTAGTTGACTTAGTGATTATGATATTTTTGTATTATTTTAAAAATTTTATGTATATTTTTGCACTATTATTGACATGTTTGTTAAATAATTTATGCTAATTGACTTAAAGGCCTTAATTTTTTCCCACTATTTTAAAAACTTCATATATACTTTTATATTAAAGAAAAGTTCATAATTTCAGGTGCCTATAATGGAATATATACTTTATAAGTAGATTTTTGTAACTTAATCCTATATTATATTACTGCACAATCTTCTTCAAGATGCTTAGCGTACACGTGCACCCAATCTAAACAAAATCTCCTTTGCTGCCATAGAGTGAAAGGACAAAGGTAAAAAATAAATCAGGTCATATGCGATGATGACCCGAAAAGGAATGGATCAAAAAAGCAATAATGAGAGGGGGGCACACATATCTTTTGGAATTGACTCTGAACCCCATTTATATGTTTATGTGACCCACAACTCAACATTGGCTCAGGCTGTTTAATTAGTCACAATAAGGCTTCATTTGGTATGAGGGAAACTGAGAGAGGGAAGGGAGGCAAAATTTCCCTCATACCAAACAATACCTAAGAGACATCACATGGGGTAGGGACCAACTCAGATTGCGTACACTATCAAATTGATTTGGGAGAGCTTGATGAAACTTCCGCTACCTATTCTTTTTCAAATAAAATTAAAATTAAAATTCCACAACCTATAATACGCATACCACGTACCCGTGGTTATTCATGATTCCTTTTAATTATAATCATTGGGGTTATTACAAACTTATTTTCAACATCATTATTAGCACTATTATGAAATTAATTGGTAAATATTTGCCAATTACTTTAGATTTGGACATGCTTCTTTTCTTATAAAAATGAAAAAACTAATCCTAAATCCCTAAGATTTCATTCGATTTTTAATCGGATCTTTATATATTTTTTTTTTACTAAATCCTTATAACTTTACTGATTTTTAATTAGGTCCTTGTGATTTTTTTCCTTTTTTTTCATGTTTTTGTAATTTCTCTTAATTTTAAATTTAAATTCATGTAGTTTCATGACTGATTAAAAGAAAAATAAATTATAGGGACTTGTCATTAAAACCTAACAAAAAGAAAAAGTTACAAATACTTGATAACTACTTAGTGAAATTATAAAGACATAATAAAAAGATTAAATGGAATTTTAGTGTCTGCACGTAGAGGTTTACAGAAATCAGGAATGAACGTTGAACGGTAAAGGTAGAAGTGGGGGCGTGCAGGTGCAATATTCTGAGTAAGCAAGAGGGCAAATCCCCGATAATGCAAGGACACTATTTGGTATCTCTGAAAAAGGAACGAAGATTTCGCCTAAAATGATAATCCTACTCACATGCCTTTTCATGCCCAATCACCGATTGCCAAACACTCACCATCCTTTGCTTCCACCGCTGACAAAGCCGAACACTTGAGGCGGTGTGAATACGGGCCAACTCATGGTGGTGCGGGCTGGTGAAATTTTTTTGTATAAGAAATTATTATTATTGATATGGGTTAGGTTTAATTTGACATCTTAAAGTTATATTTGGAATCTTAAATTTAATTAGTAGATTGTAATAAAATAATATGAAGATTAATTTATAATTTAAGAAAATATTTTAGAAAAACTAACACTTTTAACTATTTTTTTATCCAAATTAATTAAGTAGATATCTTATTTTGGTGTGTATATAAGTATCACATATTTATTTAATCTTATAAAGACACGTATATTGACGCAATAAATAGGTGAAAAATAAAAGATGAATGATACTGTTATTATAACTACAAACATATATAAAAAAATGTTTAATTACATATGCAATGATCTAAATGAAACAATGTCCAACCCTCCAATTATATTATATAATATATTAGGAATTATATAAAAAATCTTAAAAAAGGAAAGAGACTAGCCCGAGTGGATTGAGAACGGTTTCTGGATCTTGACGAATTGGTATTTTGCCAACCTCAACCCATATTACCGGTTATCTGCCGGTGCCACTCACTTTTCCAGTGTTTCCGTCTTTTCCTCTCCTCCTTGCTTGAATATTTTACCGCCCTGAGAATACATATTCAAAAGATATGGCGGCTTAACCTCCACCTCCCTCCAAAAAAAAAACAAAACAAAACAAAAAAAAGCAGCGTCTTTCTTTCAAGTGGACTATCTTTTTTATGAATAAAGGGTATTCTCTGTTTTAAATAGTGACTAATTCCACGCTTAAATAATGACAATAAAAATATAAATGACTTTTACATATTTCACTATGTGTATATTAAAAATAAATTATATTTCCTAATTATTCTTTTTAACTTTTATGGCTTGTATGGTATATAAAAATGCAAAAATAAAATGTGAAAGAAGTAAAAAATATTATAAAGGGAAAAAATTTTCATCATTCTAAAAAGTAAGAATTTAAACTTTAAAAAAAAATACTCCTCTAATCTTAAATTTAAGAATTAAAAAATTTATTTATAAATATTAAGAAAATCAATTAAGTTAATTATTTGTAACAAATGTGTGTTAATTTTTTTAAAACAGTAAAACGTCACATTTAATCATGAACCCATTAATAAAATTCTCTCTATTATACTACCTCCGGTCCTAATTATAAGACTTGGTTGACTAATTTGAGGAGACTAAGGAAGTAAGTTAAGTTAGTTATTTGTAATAAATAAGTGTTGTCATTCCTAAAATATTCTTGCTAATTAAGTGTATTGACTAAAACTATCATTATTAGAAGAACTATCTTGAAAAAAATACATAAATATGAGAGACAAAATAGATTGGGGTCTTATAATTAGGACTAAACTAAAAGTCAAACGGGATTTTATATTAAGACCGGAGGTAGTATGTAATCAATAAAAACAGGTTAGAAAAAATTATAAATTTAAAAAGTAAAGTAAATTTAATTTTTTTATATTTAAAACTAAAGAAAATAACTCAGCTAATTTTTACGTTTAGTACTGAAGGAGTAATATACACATCAAAACACTTTAAAAACCATCAAGTGTAAAAAAATGTTTTTGGGTGGAACTTTCAGGCGTAAAGTTATTAAAGAGTGATCTGGTAAAAAAAAAAAGTTATTAAAGTGTGACACTGACCTGACACAAATAGAATAAGTTGAGGAAATCAAATTCTAATTAATGTGCCAAGATAATAATGTTAGGTCATGTCCACTCTTGCACGAACGGCCACGGATATGCCACTATGTCCATGGTATTGTAGTAGTAATTTGTAATATTCTATTTTTTGATTGCAATATCATTTTTCATTAATTTATCAAAAAAAAAAAGTTGTGTCATGAAAAATCTTCTCTTTATGAGAATAATTGGCGTCGTCTATATTTCTATTTAATTTCCTTACATCTTAAAATTAGACCATATATTTCTTTATGAATATTAATATAAAGTAAATGAGTGAAGCTATTTAGATTAAGGGCTATAATCAATTGTATAGATATGTCTAATTTTATTCTTCAGAAAAGTTTATTACATTAAACTAATAACTGACCCTATGTAATTGCACAAGGCTTATACAAGATATTTGATGACTTTATAAAAATGTAATAATAATCATAAAAATCAATAATTTGAAATAGAATTACGCCATACAAATTATTCATAATGTATGAACCTTATGAATTAGTACATGAGTCATCATTTGCAACATTCACAGTTGTAATTCTAACATCAAATGAGTTTTCTTCTGCCTTTTTTTTTTTTTGTAATTGCGGGTAAATGAGTCAAAACAAGATTTTAAACATGATAAAATGGGAGATGACATTTAGGAAATTTTCATTCAAAGGGTTGCACATGGTAATAATTGTTGTGTTGCTATTGTTTAATATTTTTCAAGATCGCAATTTTATTTTTCTATTGCTTTTGTAATTTTATGGAGCATGATTAATAACTCTAAGAAACAAACCAACAATCATTTTTTTTCCATTTATGGTTGAATCATTACAAATTATTACGATAGTTTTGGTGAGCACAGTGAGTGAAAATTGTTTGATCGTCTTTCTTCAAAGAAAAATTGTTTAATAAAAGGATTATTTTGATTAGAAACCTTAAATGATTAGAATATTAAGGATTGTTTGAGCTTCCACTGCTTCAATTAAACAGGCAATAAGAATGTGTAACTTTGAGTCATCTGCTATCTGCTACATGTGACCTCTAACTAAACGATAATGTGTTACTCACGCTATGTGCTGACCTATGAAAGTATGTTAGGTCCGGGATCAACATAACCCGATTTTATGCACCTCTTGGAGCAGTTTGATTTCATACCTTAATTAGGCATATATATATATGGACCATATATTAGGATTGACTATGCGGTGAGGAAGATTTGTGGATGTGAATTCTTGTATGTAATATCTTCAGGCACTCTTTTATGACCATTATTATTACTACTATGGTTTTGTGTAGAATTAGTTTCCTTGATTACCAAGACTTAATGATAAAGAGTTTTGTTATTCAATGGTACTTCATGCCCAGGGAGAGGTTTTGAGATCAAACCTTCAAGAGACATAAGAGGAGCAGGGGTGTGGGTCACTCTCCTCTATAAGAAAAGGTTGGGATGTACGACAATATTTTATGCGATTCTAAATATAAGAGCTAAATAACTTATTTATAAATATTATAAAAATTAGTTAAGTTAGTTATTTGTAATACATATATGTTAATTTATTTAAAATAATCATTTTAATCATTCTTCCATTAATAAAAATCATTTTTAATATGTACAATTGATATTGATAGTTTGAGTAAAAAGTTTATAAATTTTGAACGCAAAATGGATTGATGTTTTGTAGTCTTTGGGATCAAAGCAATTCCCTTAATTACCCCAAGGGAGTAATAGTAATAATAACAAGGAAAAATTACACTAAAATTCCACTCAAAAAAAATTAAATGGAAACAAGCCTCTTGAAATCATCAATTTAATTTAAAGTTTTAAAAGACCTTATTGCGAGAGGTTTTATTTGTTCAATTACTAAGTTGATTTCATTTTTTTAAAAAGTATATATTGAGAATTGAAAGGACAATTGTTAACAACTTAAAGTGTAACGATTAATAACTATTGTGGTAATTATTAACAACTCATGCATTAAATTGTTGTGATGTGTTGAGAAAATGTATTGTTAATATCTGCCTGTGATAGTTGTTAATTGTTATATTTTAAGTTGTTAATGACTACCTCTTTAGTTGTCAATGTGTACTTAAAAAAAGATGAGTACAATACAATTTAACGATTGAACAAGTAAAATCTCTTGCAGTAAGATCCCTTGAAACCTCACATCAATAAAATACATTGACGTTTGATAGCAAGCCCATCAAATACGTTGAGAGGCCCAACAGGAACCTCTCTTAGCCCAGATTGATCGACGCGAAGCCGGTGCAACGCCAAACTCGGCGGCATCTTCTGTCCGAAACCACGCTGGCCTTCTGTTCTTACGTCAACTTCTGCAAGCACCTCCTCGCCTTCTTCTCCTTTGCCTATATCATCACGATCTCTCTCTCACTCTCTCTTCACACTTCGTAACCTTCGTACACATTCTCTCTTCCTCACATTTTCAGATTCTCACTCGCCCCGCGGAGCATTGTGTCATTCTCTTCTCTGTGAGTTTCCATTCCCATTGCAATGGCTGCCGCTACTCTCAGTCCAGCCGATACGGAGAAACTGTCCAAGCTCAAATCTGCTGTTGCAGAATTGAGCCAAATCAGGTATCACATTTCAGGATTTGGATTAGTTTCCGATCATTGTTTCTGTTTTCTTGATGTGAATCTCTTTGATCGGTTTCTAATTGTTCATCTAAGAGCTTGGATCTCAGATCAGAATCTCATTCTCTTTTCTGGATTTCAAATTTGCATTGTTTGCACTCTGTAGTGAGAATGAGAAGAACGGATTCATCAACCTCGTAGCTCGCTCTCTCAGGTGAATCGCTTATGAAGGAGCTCAATCTTTGTGCTTGCAGTTTGCTGATCTTTACCTTTAGGTGAATTCTGATGATGAGTTCATTACAGTGGCGAAGCGCAGCACGTCGAATGGAGTAAGATTGCGACTCCTACTGATGAAGTGGTGGTGCCTTATGACAGTTTGGCGCCATCTCCGCAAGGTGATAATTAATTATCATCATGTGTTGTTTTCTCTTTTCAATTTGATACATTTTCTGTAGATCAGTGTTATCATGGATGAATACCAAAATTTCTGCAGATTCTTCGGAGATAAAGAAGCTCTTGGACAAGCTTGCCGTCCTGAAGCTTAATGGAGGCTTGGGAACAACTATGGGTTGTACTGGTCCAAAGTATGGAGTTTGATAACATTTTTTTTTACCTTGATGGTTTTGATGGCGGGAAGCTTTAGCAGAGCTGATATCAACTTGTCAGTCTCTTGGTTTTTTATTAAGCCCAATCCGATTTTAAAATTTTTGATAGTGCTGACTCTCCCGCTATATTTGACCAATGTTGCCTGCAACTTTGTCATGCCTTGTGCTCATTTCTTTCGAATCCTTATTCATCAAAATGAAGAGAAAGAAAATCACAGTCCTAAACGTTTTAAATTAACAACCTGGTTATTTGCACTGTCCTATAGCCTGTAACCTGCATTATGCACTGCTAGACTCGAGAAAAAAATCTGTTTAAGTATATATGAGCGCGTACATGACGTAGAGTCAGAAGACTTTGGACAATGAAAAATAAAATCAATACCGTGGACTCGAGGAGATCTTCCTGCAAGATGTATTAGTTTGACAGGATATGAGTTCTCTGCGGTTGTAATTTGAGATGGCCTGTATGTGAGTCATAGCTTCTGTATGAATCTATTGCAGATCAGTCATTGAAGTTCGAGATGGATTGACATTTCTTGATTTGATTGTCAAACAAATTGAGGTTTCTCTTTTTCCCTTCTTTGCTCGTCATTTTTTTTTCTGTTTCTCCTGTGCGAACTTTCTACTGATAACTTGGGTGTTTTTGTAGAATCTCAATTCCACATACGGAAGCAACGTTCCTTTGCTTTTAATGAACTCCTTCAACACTCATGATGATACGCTAAAGGTACATGATTTTCATTCTTTATCCTCTTTGCTGGGTATCCGAGTTCACTTGCAAACTAACAATTTGCCTATTTCTAGATTGTTGAAAAATACAAAAGCTCAAATATCGAAATCCATACTTTTAACCAGGTCCGTAATTATAATTCCTATTTTGTTTTTAATCTCTGAACTGTAATACCTTCTGGAGTTTCTGGACTTTGAGCTCTTATTTCTCTGCTGCGTTTCTCAAATTTGTGCAGAGCCAATATCCTCGATTGGTTGTTGATGACTACTTGCCATTGCCATCGAAAGGGAAGACTGGCAAGGATGGATGGTATGATTACAATTGAATATTGCCTCCACAGTATTACTGCATTGAATTTAGCGACTACAAATACTACTAGAAAATTCTCTGTTCAGTCTTTGCTGAAGTAGCATCTGTCAAATAGAAGACGGGTAATTTAACGCATCTATCTGAAAGGAATTCACTTTCTAGTTTTCTCATGAGCAAAGCAATCGTGCGTAGGTACCCTCCTGGCCATGGGGATGTCTTTGCATCATTATTGAACAGTGGAAAACTAGATGCTCTGTTATTACAGGTTGGCACCAGAATCCGTAGTTGGATTTTGCCTTTAGTTATTTTATAGCCAATATCGTCACTACAGTTTCATGGATCCTTCATTTCCTTTTGTTCTGTTATAGGGTAAGGAGTACGTGTTTGCTGCCAATTCGGATAACTTGGGTGCAATAGTCGACTTGAGTATCCTCATTTAGGTTCTTATTGATTCCTTATTTTTCTATTATCTGTGGCTATACTTGTTATTTACACACAAGGTATTTCTGTCATTTCTGTCAGTATCCTTGACTGGGTAATTTAGAAATCTTGAATCATTTGGTCCAGAAAAAGAACGAATACTGTATGGAGGTAACAAAAAATAGTTGTTGTCAAATAGTTACTTGCCTTAAATATTCAGCCTTCTTGTCATTTATTTATGTTTTTTGGGGCTTGTCATTGTACAGGTGACTCCCAAAACATTGGCTGATGTGAAGGGTGGCACTTTAATATCTTACGAAGGAAGAGTTCAGGCATGAATCTTGTTATTCGGATTTCATTTCTCTACATTGTTTATCTGTTTAATTAGTTCACAGTTCTGGACTCGTCAAACTGCATCTTAACCTTTCTATGACCGTTTACTTAGATGTAATTGTATGCCTTCTACGATTATCACCCATATATGCATATCATCTACAATTTAACAATTGGTATGTCCCTCTATTTGATTTTTGTAACTGGGGAGAAATTGCAAGAAAACTAGGATAACTTGAAATCCTGAGAAAGAATGTTGGCATTAAGTGACAGTTATGTTTGAATGTTTGATGCAGCTCCTGGAAATTGCACAAGTCCCGAATGAACATGTAAGCTACATATTCTCTCTTGTTCTTCGCTGGATCTTTTCTAATGCAACCTACCCCTTTGCTAGTATAGCCAGTAGTTCTAATTGTTCTATAATGAAGTATGAAGATCATGATTAGCTTAGTGAGAAACGGCATTGGCTTGATTTAAATAATTATATTCTTTGACGCAGCAATTGACTTTTGCTTGAATTGGTGCTATGGGTTATAGTACTTGAGCCGAGGGCATTTTATCCTCCTTCATCTTATATTTCATTCTTTTTCAATAACATTTTTTCATTAAAAATCAAATGCATACATACTTGAGAGGAAATATCACGCTTATGGTTGAACTTTAATGATTCAAAGTAAGGGAAGAAAATATTGTTAAGCATGATTTCTGATAATTTTCATTGAGAACACAATATTTCTTCATTGACAAATTTTGACATCTAAAAAAGGAACTCCGGGGTACTGATCATTTGTTTGATCTATATGCTATGTTAGCTTGTACTTTCGTGACTAATGTTCATTCTACCAGGAAAGCCCTTTATATCAGAATAGATTCAAAGGGAGTATCCTCTGCAGGCATATTTCCCTACAAAAGCAGTTGATAAACGTTGGCGATATGAACGTTAAATTCGTTTAATTATGTTAGGATAGGATAATAGACGAGATTATAACTGTATTGTAGGTTATGTATGGAGTCTGCTGGAAGGAAATCAAGCTTCTTATGTGATAGTTTATGTAAGATAGGCTATGTTGATAAGCTAATAAGCCGTAATTACGTAGGCTCATCCTTTGTATATATACCCTCTTCTCAGATGAAATAGATATGCATTTGAACCATATTTCTCTAAAAATCAAAATGTGTCTAGTCTTCTCATTGATGATATAGTGGTTATCCTATGGTGCTAGATTATGACTTCCACAATGGGAATGAGAGTCAGGAGAGGGAATACTTCTTTATTAGAAAAAGAGCTCTTACAATTCTCTGTGTTAAGTTATTCGACCTAACAAGCTATAATCATAAAGTTTCATGTTAGGAGAATCGGATGAACAGATGGAGAAACTTTTCTATTTTCTTACCTCCTTCTTTCTATCTAGATCTCCTTGTCCAAGTTGATACTTGGAAGCCTGAAATTATCAACATCTGACAAAAATTGTAGTAGCTGGATCATGTCTGTAAATAATAAGACAGTAGATGGAGAGTATGATTATGCCATTGACTCATTTTATGCTGCTTTTTGCACAGGTCAATGAATTCAAGTCGATAGAGAAGTTCAAAATTTTCAACACAAATAATTTGTAAGTTTTGTTGGCTATTATCCAAATTGTTGTTGGTGATATGGCCCAACTAACGAGATGGTCTTCAGGTGGGTGAACTTGAATGCAATTAAAAGGCTTATTGAAGCCGATGCTCTTAAGATGGAAATTATTCCCAACCCAAAGGTGAGGATTGATCTTCTACAGTAGTCACATATGTTGGATTCATGCTAGACTTTTGGAACTTAGATGGAAAACCGCTGACAAAATTGTGAGGATTTTAGGAGGTCGATGGAGTAAAAGTTCTTCAGCTGGAAACGGCAGCTGGTGCAGCAATAAGGGTACTCAATGTTGTTTTGACATGTTATTACAATGTTCTTGGTGATGATACTTATCTCTTTGTCTCTTTCATCTTTCATACCAGTTTTTTGACAATGCTATTGGGATCAATGTGCCTCGATCCCGGTTCCTTCCTGTGAAGGCAACTTCTGATTTGCTTCTTGTCCAGGTTATAAACTTTTCTGATACAAGGCATGAATTTTGGATATGAATTTCATGTATTGTCAGACATAACCAGTTCTCCTGTTTTGCAGTCGGACCTCTACACTTTGCAAGATGGCTCTGTCATCCGTAATCCAGCAAGGGCAAATCCTGCTAACCCTGCTATTGAATTGGGACCAGAATTTAAGAAGGTCAAGATTTACATTACTGATTATTCTGCATTAGATGGTGAGAGTAATACTGATTTTCCCACCCTTCTGAACAGGTTGGCGACTTCTTGAATCGTTTCAAGTCAATTCCTAGCATTGTTGAGCTTGACAATCTTAAAGTGGCCGGTGATGTATGGTTTGGAGCTGGTGTTACCCTCAAGGTATATGATTTAATCCAATTATAGTTTAATCTCTTATTTTCGAGGATAATTACAAAGGTTACAGTATAGGACTCTATTCTTTTTATCAAAAGGGGGAAGGAATTTACGCTACCAAACAAAATGATAACAAATAAAATTGTGCGAAACTAAAAAACTTAATTGGCATGCTAATATTGCCTGAATTTATCATCCCGCACTCTGGCACTATTTGCATTCAATTGAAAAGAGGTAGTTTCAACTTCAGTTTTGATGGCTCCTCGAGATAACCCAAATTTATAATTTAGGTGGGAAAGATGTTTTTTTTTTTTTTCCTTTTTGGTTAACTAGCCCACGAAAGTGATTAATATATCCATTTCCATGCGCCAGCCAGGTTTGATAAGGTTTGTATGTCACATAGAATTTCCTTATTATCATATCAAAATTCAAAATCCTAGGACTTTTTCCCCTTCTGTTCCCTAGTATTGGTGAACAAGAAGGGAGGAACCTGCGGTAATTGTTCTCAAAGTGTATAAACTTTCCTCGCTATTTGTCTTCAAAGATGAAAGAATTAGGCTCCGACCGATTCCATTTAGTGAAAGAAAACCTATTTGTCTAAAGAGTTGTGTGAGGCTGTGGAGACTAGCGCCCGGTGGCCCGCGGAGATGCTCAAGCCATTAAGGATTGCACAATTAACTTTATCCAAGGGGGCGCAAACTTCATGAAGACCCCATGAGACACTAGTCTTGAGATATATGAATCTGCATGTGCATATTCGTCATCTATCCAAATTCAGGCCCAACCTATATCACATATTAACTTCTTTTCTTTTTCGTGAAATATCTTTACAAAAAAAGTATTGTTATTATAAGCAAAAATTGCCTGAACCAGTTCCCGGTTATTTAGCAATCAAAGCGGATAGAAAAATCAATAAGAAAACTAAGAATTCTTAGGTTTTTTATGTTTTTATTTTTTGGCCCTAAACCAAGAATTCTTAGTTTTAGAACTCAATGTATTTCAAATTATTTGAACTCAATATATTTCAAATTATTTTCTTAGAAGGTAACTCTTGATATGATTTTGGTTAGTTTTTGGTGTGAAGAAAAAAAATGTTGAACCTTGTTATAATTTGCATTCATTTAAAAACTTTAAAGAAACTTTAGCATGTCTATATGCACTTTTGGCTACAAACAAGTTCATTGTGATTCTCAGCAAGCAACCGAATTGATCAGGGTGATCATAGGAAACACTATTCTGATTACTGATATGTTATTATCTCATATTTGCATAAAATTTTGTATGTTTCTTTCTCTCTTCGTTTTTTTTTTTTTTTTTTTTTCAAATTTCCGTTCTATTTGCTTTCTGACGCATCTTGTTCTGTTGGTGCTCAAAGGGCAAAGTCAGTATTGTTGCGAAAGATGGTGTGAAGCTGGAAGTGCCTGATGGTGCCAAAATTGAAAACAAGGTATTCCCACTAATATGGAGCTTGCTTTTTATTAGATGTCTGCATAAGCTTGTCATTTTAAGCCTCTCTAAAATGTTGGCGCCAAAAAAAAAAAACTCTAAAAATGAATTATTTATGTGCAGGAAATCAATGGTCCTGACGATCTCTGAAAAATCTTTGATATCAAAGTTGAACAGGTCATATGCATTGTGCTGTGGCCTCTTGATGATGTATTGTCCTGAGTTCAATAGAAAAGCAAAATAAGAGACTTTTTGGTGAAAAAATACATAGCTTTGCTTATCATTCTTGTTACCTGGATTGTAATTTGTAACCCTCGAGCTTGCACAGTCTGAGATGAGTTGAACGGTTGGCTTAAAATTTATTATACATATATTGGTATGATGATTTTTGATATTAGCAAAAAGTTTGATTCACTTTTACTTTTATCCTATAACAAGGTGCGATGCACAGACAATTTCTAGTTATAGCTCTGATCTTCAATATAAGAGCAAAATAATTGATTCATAAATATTAAAAAAATTAGTTAAGTTAGTTAGAACTTCCTAAAATATTCTTTTTATTTATATATATTGGAATTATCTCTCTGGAAAATTCCTTATAATCAATAAAGATTTTTAAAAAAAATTATAAGTTTGGAAGATAAAGGCCAATTGGGTTCAATTGTAGACTCCTTTGGAAATGCAATGTGATGCAATGCAATAATGATTATCATTAACATGTTTGGTTTATTATTTACAAGGTGTGTAGAAATTATTTTTCATATTTAATTAGAATTATACGAGGTCTAAGATGCCCCTCAAAATCCCAATCATCTTCCTCAACTAGAACACCAATGGTAATGCAAAACCAACTAAGAATCAGCATGTTTGAAAGAAAAAATCATTAGTATTCTCAAAAGGCTTAAAGTGAATTGAGAATTTATATTTAGAATCAAATTTAATTCCTAACTTGTTTTTATATTTAGGACGTGAGGTAGTAATTTCAAGCCAATTTTTTGTCCATAAAATTTTTTACTGATTCCAACCTTCAAATAGTACGCCTGTGTAAATAGCATTCCTGTGGCCCAACTGATCTTAATCTGAATTGATTGATTGAGATTTGATTTGGCTTTTAAAAATCATTAGTATTCTCAAAATTGAAACATGCGATTTTATTAAAAGCTCGCAAGTTTGTGACTTTTTACTGGATAAGTGACATATGAGTGATTGTTATAATATTTAGATGGTATATTTCTAAAATTACATGTGTGCGTGTGTCTACACACACACACACACTCATGAATACCTAAATATATGTAAAGTCATTTCAATATATTTTTGAAACAATTGATAGTAAATTATATGATTTTATGAATCTAAATTATACCACTAAAAGAAATCATATACCTTGCCTTGGTTATTTTGCTAATTGCTTTAGAAGTAAAACATAAAGCAATACTGGTAAATAGGGCACCTTTTGCTGTTAAATATTATTAGATATTGTGAATATCATAATCTGAATCAGATACATAAAACCAATTTCAAGTATGAACTAAAGTAGTTACATTTGTATATAAAGAATAATATAATAAAAAAATAATATAGTAACATTTTTTGAGTCGGAATATTGACATGGAAACAAGAAAATGGGCGGGCCCGTTTGGCCGTTTGGCAGCGAAGAGGAATGGAATGAACAAAAAGAATTCAATTTTCTATACCCAAAAAAACAAAAAACAAATAAGAAGCGAATCTCCCGAAAGAAAATTCATTTCTCACCGGTCACGGCCACGGAGATAAAGCCTCCGCCTCTTGCCGGCCAAACTCGTTGTGGCTCAGCTTCTTCCACTTCCCTCTTCACTCCTGCAGGTACTAGCTCCAAGGACAACAAGTACCCACTACTCCGCATTTCAGCACATCGTGAATTCCTGTGTGTAACAGGTCGGTCTCCGTATCTCCCTCTCCCTCTCTCTCGCTTTGCATTTCATGATCTCTCATTCTCATAGTTAACATGAAAATAATACTTTCATCCATAGGAAGAAGAATTGTTTGATTTTTTCTCTCGAATGATGGAATGTCAGTTCCTTGCTTTTAGAGCTTAAAAAAAAATTCGAGATATGTTTCATGTTCTCCTTCGATTGAATGGGTATTATGGTTTTCATTTCTATCATCCCCTTAGAATCTTCTGTTGAATAACTGGGAAATCATGCATCAAAACCATGAACGGAGCTTCTTAAACCCGTAGTAGGAAAATTCTTGATCTCATGTTAACGCTGTTTCAATTTTCGGTACTCGAGCTATGACTGCTGATGCTTGAGACTATTTTTCATTTAATTGAGAAGAAATATGGCTTTTCAATTGGAAAAAAATGCGCTTACTTTCTCGTATATATTTATATCCTTCTTGGTGTCACAAGTTGTGAAGAAGAGCAAGCTTGTTTAACTTTCTTCTATTGTGTATAAGGTTTTTTCTGCATGTTTTCGCCATGTAAAATGAGATTCCATTGTTTTTTAGACTAGAAGAAAAGCGAACATGTTCACCAATGACCAGAGGCAAGAAGAGCGAACTGGAAGATATGGAACCCCAAGACTGCAATACCTTCAGGCACTTGTTCTTTCTTTTCAGTTAATCACAAAACATTTATTCAATACACTGTGACTTTGTGCGTGTCTGTGTGAAATTGAATCATTGACTCCTTGACTTCTTAGTCATATGCTTTATGTCCTATCTCCTTCCGGAATGACGAACTATTTAAATTGATTGCTCTGATGTTTGGAACCTGAAAGGAGTAAACTTTGTTTCAGGAATTGGTGACTCAGTTTCAGAGCGCAACTGAAGATGGTACGGAGTACCCTGCTATTTTATGTTGTTTAAATTTTGTTGTCTTCTTGAATTCATTAAGATTGAATCCAGGATATCTCTTGACCAGACATATATTTGCAATTTTGAGCTTCTCATGCTCAGAATGTTTTATGCCCATGAAAGTAACACTTCCAGTCTATTCTCCTATATATTTTGGCACTGGGTTGGAATGAAATGCCCTGTTGATGGTTTGACGTGATTGGGAGTGAAACTATTGTCTTTACGCCACAACAAAGACATAGGAAATAATGCAGAAAGATAGAAAATTTCTCGTAACCATTTGATGCACTAGATATCTCTGAAAGCTACTCCATAATTAATTCTCTCAAATCAAGTCCCATTAACCCCCCCCTTTCTGTGCTTCATGTGTCCATGGCTCGCTTTCCATGTTAGCTACACAACCTCCTTGATATCTTTCCCTCTGACCTATGCCTAAGTCATCTAGAATATACAGGCGTGGTGAACTTGATGAGAGTGTGCTCTTGTCCTCTTCCTAGTAATTTTTTTTGTTCTTATCTCTTGTATGGTTCCTTAAATCCATTTGAAATGTTGTCAATACGTGATGAAAAGATTATGTTTAAAATGTTATTGTTACGAATTTACTTCTTGCTTTTAAATAGTTGTACTGTTAATATGTCATGTTAAACTAAGCAGGTCCAACAAGGCCTAATGTGTAATAAAAATTCATTTGATTCTAATCCTAAAATTGATGTATAGAGCCACTACTGAGATATTGGGGAGAGAAATTCTCTCTTCCTCTGTTATCGGAATGGATAAATGCTTCTAAGTGTTTGTAAATTGTAGTGCTTTGCTTAATGAGATTCATGACACACTACTCCCAGCATATCAATGTTTCTTGTATTTGCAGAGACAAAAGAGAAAATCGTGGCAAATTTGGCGAACTTTGCCTATGATCCTTACAATTATAATTTCTTGCGTCAGGTTTGGCCCAACCCTTTTCTTGCTGGAAATATCCATGTTATGAATTACACCACGATCGCTCACCATTGGCTTTGTAACATTTTTTTAATGGTGATGTATAAGCAGCTCAATGTTTTGGAACTTTTTCTGGACTGCTTAACAGAACCCAATGAGAAGCTTGTGGAATTTGGAATTGGAGGGATATGCAATGCTTGTGCAGGTAAGTGCAGTTTCACACTTTGTGATGTCAGCATCTATACCTGATAATTGGTATATGTAGTTGACTAAATGTAGTGGAAATTTTTTGCAGATCCGACCAATTCTAATATTGTTACTCAGTGTGGTGGCATTCCTCTTGTCATTCAATGTTTATCAAGCCCAGTTAGGAACACTGTAAGGGTGATAACTTAGTTGTTAACCATGTTTCAATATCTTTGCTTATGGTTATAATCTATTCACCTTGTAGAGAAGATGAAATAATAAACTAGGTTTGGTCAGGTTGCTTAATTTCTTCTTTTTATGGGAACTCAGCCACCAAAGTCTCGCCACTTTATTATTAGTTTTTTTTCATTCTTAAAATTTCATGTGGGAACTACTAGTAATTTCTTCGGTGGTGCTGAAAAATCACAAGTTAATTTACTTTTATACAAGTTCCATGTATTACTTGTGATAGTTAACCCAAAGTACTTACGACATGATACCAGGTGAATTATGCACTTGGAGCTCTTTACTATCTATGTAACGGATCTAACAAGGAAGAGGTTTTAAAGCCAGAAGTAGTCGATGTTATCAAGAGATATGCAGATGCTGAAACGGTTAGTGTGAGCTTTAGTAATCTAGCTAAAGCTTTTTTGGACAAACATGGATCTGTGAACTTGCACTAGCTTGGTGCTTATAATACTAATCTAATTTGGAAAAATGAGCCACTTTACTCTTTTTTTATTTATTTTTTATTTTTTTTAACATCCTTCACTTAGTGTAGTGGAAGGAACTTACGGAGGGTTGAAAACGCAACCTTATGCTTAAGTAAAACTCAAGGAGGTGCTTAGTTCTGGTTGGGCCAAACAGTCCCTACAAATGACCCACTTTACTTACAGCGTGAGGATAGCATACTTTATTTTAACTTTTATATTTTATATTCATATTGATAAGATGGGTTTGTGGTTACACACATGAATATAAAAGGAAAAGATAGGATTTCTAATGATTGTATATGATGAAAAGTGAGTGCATTGTACATGGAAAAGAAAATAGATTGATGAAGGGACCAATGAAATATGGTTTTTAGCCCTTAAAAGAGGTAGATGAAAGCCATGAAGAATCATTACTAAGCTCCTACCTGCAAACAAGATTTTATACTGAAGATTGGAGGTAATCATTACTCTATTGTTATGCCTCTAATTGCTATTGTTTTTAGAATATGCTCGTGCTCAAATGTCATTTTCCTAGTTCTGTGAATCAAAGCAGGTCATCTGGTTTGATTGGTTAAACTAAGAACGGATATTATGTTCAATTTGTAATTAAGCAGGAATTGGGAGGAAGACATTTTAGGTTCATGCAATGCTTCAATGTAGTATCTTCTCGTGTATATACTAATTCTTGATAATATATATGATTCAGAAGACACTATCTCTAGTCATTAATTAGTTTAATTGAGGGTTAGATTTTGATATCAAATATAAGATGTTAATTCACTTTGATTCCTAAATTTATAATTTTTTTTTCAAAATATTCTTATTGATTATAAGGGTTTTCATTTAGGACAGTTCACATGTATATAATGAAAGAACATAATTTAAGAAAGTTAATATAACTATAAATAACTAAGTTAACCAATTTTTTATATTTTTTAAATTTAAACTTGATTAATTTTTTTAATATTAGGTGCATGTAAGAAATATGTTAAAAAGAAAAAAAGAAAAAGTATGCTTGCGTGCTCCTAGTAAAATATTAAATTTTAAAAAAAGTAAAAATTAGTAAAATTTTGTTGGAATATTTTGGACTATAATGATAAAAAATGGGTTATTCTACTCTCTGAAATACAAATCAACATGTTCAAATTTCAATATTATAAAAAAAACAATTTAAATCAGAATAATGATATTTTGCTTGTACATAATTTTATAAGAGTAGCTGACATAGTCTTGTTTCTTATTACAATTGAAATCACTTATAAGTACGTTTTATATAAATTGAGACAAAAAAAATTTTATATATTTACCTCATATTTTATAAATTACGATTGAAAAATTATTTATAAGTTATTCCAAATGGATTCATGAACTCTTGTCCCTTTTAATAAGCTTTTGGTATGTACTTTTCAAGGTCCTAGTGGACAATTAAAACACGACCTTCCATATTGGGAAAATAATATCTGAAGATCATGTGATATTTCTCGCCAATAACTTATTTTTCTTTAAAAATTTTAAAAATCGGTGTCATTAAATTTGATAAAAAATTAAAATTATTACAATATCTTCAAATATCATTTTGCCTTTCATATTGTATCAGTCTTATGACAATGGATGCCATTGCTGCTTGAACCTTCCAATTTTGCAGCACTCACGCCAATTTTGACCATCTTATATTTTTAATATTAATATGAGGGGGGTTTTATTTTGGTTTGCGTAAAAGCACTAAAAGCCAAACCCCCAAATCCTTTAGGTATTATTTGATACGAGAAAAATAAAAAAACACAGGAGGGAAAATTTTAATGAGCTCTAAAAAAATTGGAGAATTTGGGTTTTGAAATTTTAATAAAGAGAAAAAATAAATAAAGGAACAATAAAAATTAGTTAAAAGTTTTTAAACTTTTTTAATTTTTTAAATCAAACTCATTAAAATTTTTTCTCCTTTCTCCTCCTCTCATTTGTTCCCATACCAAATAGACTGTAAGAGAGCACAACTTATTTTTAACGTGAGTAATTAATTTTTATATGCGTAAATATATTTTTTTTTAATACAACATACTTTTTTCCTTATTTGCGCACAACTAAAAAGAGAGTTGCGTCTGCATCCGAATAAATAAATTTTATATACCTTTTTTAAAAAATTTTTGATATTGATATTTATATTTTTTGATGTGGGTACTGACGGGGCAAGCGTGTAATTCGATGAGATTAAAAGGGCATTCATGACGTTTCAGCTCGTGATGCGCCTGCACGTAGTCGAATGTTCCCCGGCAGAGAAGTATTTCAGTTGCGTCCTACTTTTCGGCACCTTGTTCATCCGTTTCTTCTCACTTCTCAGCTACTTCTACTTCCGCATCTTCTTCTCTGTGCCTTCCCACCGATTCAACTCTCAGAGAAGCTCAGAAAATGGGATTCGAGAAGATCAAGGTCGCCAATCCTATCGTCGAAATGGACGGTGAGTATGGAGCTTGAACACGACGCTTCTCCTTCGTTCTCTTGGCAATCCGTTTGCTTCCACTCCGACTCTGTAGAATTTTTGAACATCTGTTGCTTCATCTGAATTTCTCTCACTTAGATACTTCTCTCTGTGCTTGGTATTTTGTGGACCAACCTGTCTGTTTATGTCGGATCATTTTCATGCTTTTAGTATATTATGGGCCATGGCTACCGATTCTCTAGGTTCATTTTTTTTGTGTGTACTTTTTATATATTCTTGTTCTACGGAACATATTAACTTATTACTGCTTACAACTATGTCATTCATTGACAGGCTTATCCGTTCACATTTGTAAATTCAGTGTTGGATTGGGTTAAATTATCGTGAAATGTTGCTCGGGATGAGTTTGATCTAGTATTTTTTCTTTTATTTTGTAGATCGAATATGTACTTTACATAGTGCGAAATCGTCAGTGCCTACTGTGAATTGTGGAGATTGAAATTTAATTATTATATGACATAACGACTACTGTACGAACTACTGTTTTATCACTTCTATGACATTGGGTGTGATATTTCTGGAAATCCGTCTTCTATTTTTATGGGAAAACTATAATATGACAAAAGATTTTAAAAAGGGCCCCTAATATCATCGAGTATAGATGTGTGCTCCAATGCCCATTATACATCCCCGTTGCCCCTTTTTCCGGGAAAAAAGGTGGTTCTAGAGAAGTGGACATTCTAATGGAGGCTCTTTTGAATGGAAGATGAGTTTTGGCAATGTGTCATTCATAGAACTCGCAACTTAGGAGCCTAGCTTAATGAGACGCCAAGATGCTTCTTGCCCTCAGATTGAAAAACATACTTATAATTGTTGGTTTTCCTGGTGCAAAAGACTTCATATATAAGCATCCAGTAAGAATTAGCCGTGGAAGGTTTTATGTTATATTTATGTACCAAAATCACAGGATACTGAAAATCTTGGTTTAAATTACTATCATTGCCTCAACCATAGTGGATATGCTTACTTGTCTGAACAGACTTCACCTTCCTTCATGACATGTTTTCTAACTGCTTTTCAGGTGATGAAATGACCCGAGTTATTTGGAAGTCAATCAAGGACAAGGTAATTTCTCATCAACTTTGTTCTTGCATCATTAGAAAACATTTTTTCATTTAAAATGCTGATGTACAAATTTAATCCTTTTTTATAGCTTATTCTCCCCTTTCTCGAGCTGGACATTAAGTATTTTGACCTAGGCCTACCTCATCGTGATGCTACTGATGATAAAGTGACGGCTGAAAGTGCAGAAGCAACTCTGAAGTATGTTCATACTTCTTACCCTATTGCTTACTTGGAATAGTTTTTTTTTTTTCCGCCAGATTTTCGGATTGTGTGATTAAAAAATTAAGAGTTGTAAGTACCATCTTTATTTCTTTGTCTTCTCTTGCCTCCCCCCTCTCTATACCTATATATGGTTTAATTATCATTTTTTTTGGCAGACTTCAATTTGAATTTGGTGAAGCTTAATGATTATTCTGACAATGTTCCTATACTTGTTTCTGTAATCGTTGCCCTGTTGTATAGGTATAATGTGGCAATTAAGTGTGCAACTATAACTCCAGGTATGGTGGTTGGGTCTTATAAGAGGTGTTACATTCATATGACTCTTTGTACTTGCATTTACATTAAACAAGAAATAGAAAATATCCTCCTGGGTTTGGGGTAAATCATATTGCTTGGCACATGTTTGATAACTATATTGCTAGAGTTGGTGCATGTTATGACTTGTTAGATAGTAGATGTTGGAAGAACTTATCTTTTGGTACCATGATTTACAGATGAAGCTCGTGTGAAGGAGTTTGGTCTGAAGCAAATGTGGAAGAGTCCTAATGGGACAATTAGGAACATCTTAAATGGTAACGCCATAACTGAGCTTCTTTTCATGAATTATTTCCGGTCAAATGTTGCATGATTGATTAGCTTGTCTTCTTTGTGCATTGGTTTGATAAGTGATAGATGGGTTAAAACATATGCTAGTTTATTACTAATTCTATCTTTGAAAAATCTTTCAGGAACTGTCTTCAGAGAGCCAATCCTTTGCAAAAATATCCCTCGCCTTGTTCCAAGTACTTATGTTGTTTATGTGTTGTATTTAATCATTTCTTTAATGTAGTCTAACTGTTTAAACTTTGGAAGGTTGGACAAAGCCAATCTGTATTGGAAGGCATGCTTTTGGTGACCAATATCGGGCCACTGACACAGTAATTAAAGGGGCTGGAAAACTGAAGCTGGTTTTTGGTATAATTTCTTCATAATTTGAGATAGTTTGTGAATATCTATTACCATTACTTAAGACTTTTCTGTTTTATCATTTATCAATTCATGCATGTTATGGTTTGCTATTATTCTTGCAGTACCAGAAGGGAAAGATCAGCCGACTGAATATGAAGTTTTCAACTTCACTGGTGAAGGAGGTGTTTCATTGGCGATGTATAACACTGATGAGGTTGATTCTGTGTTTTCCATTATTGGTTTGATAGGGGAGAGTTATTAAATTTCTGTTGCTTAATGGTCCTGTATCTTTCATATTTGCATGGCACGCAGTCCATCCGTGCTTTTGCAGAGGCTTCAATGTCAACTGCTTACCAGAAAAAGTGGCCTCTATATCTTAGCACAAAGAATACGATTCTGAAGAAGTATGATGGAAGGTATGTGCATAATTATTAGTTTGTTATTTATTTATTTTCACTATTCTGGCAACAACTTTCTCCTGTTTCTTCTGTTCAAGACATTTTTTGGTTTCTTGTTACTTTGTTATATTCAATTATGTTCTTTTATTTTGAAGATTCAAGGACATTTTTCAAGAAGTTTATGAGGCCAGCTGGAAATCAAAGTTTGAGGCTGCTGGTATATGGTATGTGAAGCCGTACTTGACTTCGAACTTTTTTGGTGCATTCTATGCTGTTAACTTTAAACTAATGGATGGGAAGGTATGAGCATCGGCTCATTGATGATATGGTGGCTTATGCTCTCAAGAGTGAAGGAGGATATGTATGGGCTTGCAAAAACTATGATGGAGACGTTCAGAGTGATTTCTTAGCTCAAGGTTTCTTTGCTAAATTCTTTTATTATTATCATTATTATTATTTATTCCACCTTGTGGGACAAGGCTTGTTATTGCTGTTGTTGTATCATTGTTAGCATTTGCTGCTACTTTAGATGCTTAATGATTCTCTTCTTTTATCACTAATGCCTAATGCCTTTTTTTTTCCCCTTCCCATTTTAAGGTTTTGGTTCATTGGGTTTGATGACGTCTGTACTGGTAAGTTCTTGTACATATCGTCATGTCCAGTCTTATTTTCATCTTCTATTGCTTAAACACAGAAAATCCGTTTTGCTTTCGCCGTAGTGGTACCTTAAGATTAAGAGTAGAATCAACCATTTTATCTTAAATTATATTCTTGATGATTTGATAATTAAAAGAAGCAGCCTTCTTATTGTAATCATGTCAACTTTCACACTTTAGTGAAGTCCAGTGTGGAAATTCTATATTCACTTCGCACTCAAGTTCATGACATTGTTTATCTAATAGATCTTGGAAACTGCCTCTTGATGCTAACTGAATTAGTGGTTGGATTTAGGTGTGCCCTGATGGCAAGACTATAGAAGCCGAAGCAGCCCACGGAACAGTTACTCGACATTTTAGGGTTCATCAGAAAGGTGGGGAAACCAGCACAAATAGCATAGCATCCATCTTTGCTTGGACAAGAGGGCTAGCCCACAGGTACCTAGTAGTGCAATTTGCAGGTTGTGAATATTTTCACACTTTGAAACTGAAGTACATCTCTTTGTTGACAGGGCAAAGTTGGATAATAATACCAGGCTGTTGGACTTCACTGAAAAACTGGAGGCAGCTTGCGTTGGAGCAGTAGAATCAGGGAAGATGACCAAGGATTTGGCCCTAATCATTTATGGATCCAAGTGAGTTACTTGTTTGTGCACATTTGCGTTTAGGCTGAAATTATTAACAACGATGTGCTTATTGACTCGATATATTTTTATGCGAGTAGGGTTTCAAGGGAGCGATATCTGAACACACAGGAATTCATTGATGCTGTAGCAAGCGGGCTGAAAGCAAGACTTTGCGCTTAGGCTTCATATTGATTCATTTCATGTATGATCACAGAAAACAGATTATATGGGCTCTTACTTTGGAATGGGCCGATTTATGGGACCCGGAAGGGGAAGACAATGATTTGCACCATATTCATCATTTCTTGTCTTCGCATTTTTCGATCGAACTCTATCTTTTCAGCAAGTTATTGTTTATTAAAATGCATCAAGGCGAACAATATCCATATCAGTTGTAAAACTACGAGAAATAAAGAGACTAGAGAGTAGAAAAGAAAGCAAGAGATAGAGAAGACAGTGGTCTTTTTCTCATTCACTTTGTTTCATGATACAAATGCCTTATGCATGTCTTTTATTTATAGGCTTCCAAGCATTGAAGTCCTATACTAAGGTTACAAAAGAATAAAGAATATCATAATGGCATTAATAATGAGAAACTCTTAAGTCATTCATTAGGAGGTTATGTAGTTATGACACTTGAAGGTAAGAAAGCATATGAGAATTCTGAGGGTTAAGGGTTATAAACGTACACTCATGCAATACTTGTAATATTTATGACTTTTTTTTACGTCAAACTGTTTTTAAAAGTGTTGCAAACATAGTTATCATATTGCGATACATGGGATTTATTTATTGATTATGAGTGTTAAAATAAGATCTCTTAGATAATGCAAAGTAGCATAAAATGTTTATACACAAATTATAAATTTATGACATTTTTTTACTCCTTAGAGAAAAATGGCTGGATGGTATAATACACAATATTCAGTTTGTTGATATAAGTCAAACAGAAGTTATTGTTACTTTGTTTTTTTGTTTTAGTCAAATCTATTCTCAAATTACATGAGAACTTTTTAGATAGTTTTCTGCGTCTCTTCCTTGCAAACATCATAGGCGATTGATCTAACTTTAAACTGAAAAAAACTACATCCAGCTATATTCTAAAGTAAGAAGCATACATCTCATTCTAAGTAGTGATTGGTATAAAATGAGAATTTATAACTTACATAAGTGTATGGAAAGGAGGAATCATGAAAATCATATCACAAGTGAATGTCTGACAATCCATTGACTCTTGTTGCGTAATTAGGCCTAAATCACATGATAACTGAGTGTGAAACTAGAATATGGCAAAAGATTTTCAAAAGAGCCACTGATATTCAATCATTGTTCTTCCATCTTAGGTCCTCCTTACCATCAGATGAATGTCTGACAATCCATTGACTCTTGTTGCGAATTTAATTAGGCCTAAATCACATGATAACTGAGTGTGAAACTAGAATATGGCAAAAGATTTTCAAAAGAGCCACTAATATCATTTAACTATATATTTATATTCAATGCTCATTGTTCTTCCACGTTTCTCCCTTTTAGAAAGGGCTTAGGTCCTCCTTACCATCAGATCCAAAAAGAATCCTCCTATATGGTTGGTTTTCCTAGTGCAAAAAATTTCATATATAATTATTCGGGTAAAGTATATATTTTGGTACTTCAATTTTATAGGGAGTTTCATTTTGGTTTAATTTAAAAAAAATATGTTTTTAGTCATTTAATCCTAAAATTGTTATGCTTGAATGATGATTTTTTGTTGTAACAACCATAGTTATTTTGAAAATTAAACTTATTATCATTTGAAAAAGTTTTACTAATATTTAAAATTTCAATTTCATCATTTTTTGGTAATAATTTTAGGATTAAAAAAAATTAAAAATACACTTTTTAAAGTTAAGAGATTAAATTAAAACCTTATACTATCTCTGGTCCTATTTATAAGACTTTGTTTATAGACTACAAATGAGATCTTATAATTAAAACCTGAAGTAATATAATATTATATGACTAAATGTATACTTTAATCTAATTATTCAGCAAGAATTGGCCTTACCTTGGATCGGAAGGGCATACGCTATGTATTTTTTTCCCCAAAGCAATGCAATTTATTTAATAAAACATGAAAAGACCCATTTTAAAGATTTGGGCCGAGCCTTAACTACAAGATAGAACATTTATTACAATGCTGTGCCTATTGGCAGAGACCCGAACCTGCAATACACATGAGAATGAAAGGAAACAAACAAGGCAATAAGAAGCCATGTAACCCCAAAAAACAAAAAAAGAAGCCATGCACGAGTGTTGTTCAAAGAACGAAAACTCTGCAACAAGGCGCAAGTCGTTTTCATGGCAGCGAAAAGTGAAAACCAGTGAAACTCAAACAAACTTGCAAACGAAAATAAAAGCCAGCATAAAACCTACTGAGTGGAATAGCAACATCCGTTGCAGGTGGCACTACCCATTTCAGGGATGATGTTGTTGCAGAAGCTTCCGGCAAGAAACCATTCCTTATATATAGTCAAACAACTGAACCACAAGAATAACGAAAACTAAAAACTCAGGTTGGATTTTTCAACCATGAATCCCTCTTGTAAGTCGGTGCTGCGAAACTGAAGCGAACAAATAAGCACCCAGGTGGAGAACTGTTCCTCTTTTAGCGAAACCCGTCCATCTGAAGAAGCGAGAGCGCAAAAATCTGACGAAATCGGTTGAAGGAAGAAGAAGTTGTATGCTAGATGATCAAGTTGGCGGAATCAGCGCGCGCGCGCGCACAGAGCAGCTCTCCTATTTAGTTGTGATAAAATTGTCTTTTAGTTAAAAAGGGAAAAAAAAAAAAATTGGCGATAGGCGGACCGAGCGCTGCTCCTTGCACTCCTACTTCGTCGCTTTCATTTTGCCGTATACTTGGGGGGCTGCTTTTGACTTCCGGCGAACATAAAAAAATTTGTCCCAAGAAACTTCCAATTAGATGAAGGCAAAATCTTTCAAGTTTCCCGCCAAAGCCAGGTCCGCCGCGTTTCTTGCCGCCGTCGCTGCCATTTCCCTGCCGGCCACTAACTACGTTCTCAATCTCCCCTCCTCCGATTCTTTCCCCGACAAAATCAGCACAGTGATCCATGGCATCTTACGCTCCTCTCGCGCCATCACCACTGTCCGATTCTTTGTCTTTGGTGTTTTATTTTGTGATAGCTTCTCCTACTTTACGGCCTCACTTGTTTTTTCCGATGCCAATCTGAATTTCAGGTTGCTTGCACCGTTGCTGACTACAAGTACTCTTTGCGTGGGCTTCAAAAGGACTCCAATGAGTATCGTCACGAAATGTCCGAGGTTGGTGCTGTTTACATTCTTAACAATTCATAGTGGCAAGAAATGTTGCGATTTTGTTGTGCCTGCTCCCTCTTTCGCTGTTGCGGGACTTATAACTTTATAATAAGCATAGGAGGCTCGTCCCCTGATAGGCTGACCTTTTGGGTTGGTTCTACTTCGAGGTTCTTTACAGAAGATCACAAAAAAAAGGGGAGAGAAAAAAGCCGAACATCTTTGAACATCATTTGGTATTGGTATTTTATCGGGAGTGTTAAAGGTTTTTAATCCTCGTTGACTGATCAGACTACAGTTCATTCCAGCTGAGAGTGTGATCTTTTGATTTCTAGGTTCATCTACGCTCAGCCAAGAGGATTTTGAAGTTGTGCGAAGCCAATAAAGGATTTTATGTGAAAGCTGGACAATTTGTTGCTGCCCAGGGTGTGATTCCCAAAGAATACTCGTCAACTTTGTCTGCATTACAGGATCAGGTTCAATTAAATACATTTCTTTAGAGTCCAAAGCTTTTTTGTTCATTCGTTTGTTTGCCAGGGACATCTTTGGTGGGTTCTTGTGCTAATGTTTGCATTCTTTAACATCTAGGTTTCTCCTTGTTCTTTCAAAGCTATAAAAGAAGTATTGGTGCATAATCTGGGACCGAATTTGTCTGAGATGTAAGTTATCCTTACTGATTAAGTTTTGATTTTCAAGAGCAGATGCCGATATGTAAGAAGTAGATTAATTTCTTGGGCAACAATTATTTTAATGGATTGGATTGTATTAACATAGGGTTCTGAATGAGTAGTGTTTGAGATTGTTGAAAAGCAAGAAAGAGTCTGGTGGACTATTATGGGCTATTAATGCTTATTGTATCAATGATAGAAGAGAAGCATACAAGCATTTAGGCAAGGAAATTTTAGATTACATGCCTTCAAGAATTCAAATTTTCAATCTCAACTCTGATTTTCATTTTAACTCCATATACTGGCATATAAGCTGAGATATATATATATATATATATTTATAAATAAATTAGGTGTCCCACTTCACTTACCGGTTATACTGGATATAATAGCCCTGTTCATAGCTACAGTGCAAAAATGGAATGCCAAAATCAGAAATATCCTTGGACTGTGAAACTGGTAACTTATATTGGTCTTTTGACTGCCAAGGACCACCTTTGAACTAAACTGTATTCTTTTTCATATAGTCTGGAGTTCTGTCCAGCTTGCTAATGGATGCTGTAACATATTTTTAAATGAAAATTATTAATTTATGCAAGTATCACTAACTATCACTGTTAAGGTTCCCTGTTTCAGTGAAATTTAATACTTTAAAAATTAATTAATTAATATACAGCTCTTTTCTTTTTATCACCATTTAAGCCATTGTCTTATAAGGTCTGCACATGTCAAAATACGAAAATATGCCAGCAACATATAAGCAAAATACAATGAGTGTCGTATGGGAAAGTATTAAAAGGAGAATGGAGTATGTGCACTTAGTGGATAACTCATTCTAGAGATATGGACAATATTTGCCTAGTTGATGGTACATGATGCGGCACACCATTATCACCATCAATATCGCTACACAATTGAGAAGCGTCCCTCCTCCTCTACAAGAAATGATAAAATCATAAAATGAAGTAATGAACTATGATTGCTCTGTTATGAGAACTATAGATGGCTAATTGGTCTTCACTGAGTGTGTGATTGGAAGAAGAATTGTTGGTCCTCTTGGAATACTAATTACTTCTAAATTAAAATTTCTGTTTGTGTGGTCTGGTTGTTGGTCCTTAGGCCAGCTTATTAAGAGGTGCTCTGGGGCTTTGTTTCCATATTGAATAAGGACTACTTTAATTGCATTTTTTCCTCATAAGATTTGGGTTATATGGGCCATCTATATACATATATATCGTTTAGTTTTGCTCTTGTGATTTCAATCTAATGGAAATTTGAGTGCGAGTAACACTGATGTTTTCAAGGTTGTTTCCGGTTCCTGCGTTTGTTTACAATATTGTCATTACACCAATGGTGTTCTTATAATTCTTAGTATTTCTTACATGGTGTAGGTTAGAATGATTATACAGCTTGGTTTGGCCCAGCCATTTCCATTAGTGACACACCCTAAACAAATCCTTGTTTACTTATTTTCTTTTCCCAATAGTTAATCCAACAAGTTTTTCCCCCTTCTGTATTTATTTGAATTTTCAGGTTTTCGTCAGTTAATGAACAACCAATAGCTGCTGCATCTATTTCTCAAGTTCACCATGCAGTGTTGAAAAGCGGTCATGAAGTGGCAATTAAGGTTTGTCCATGAGTTAATTTTGTGAATAGATCTGATGGCTGTAACTTGGGGAACACTTTTCTGAAATCTTATAGGTTTTCCATGGCCAGGGTGTTGAGTTTGTGTTCTTACATTCTGTATCCATCAGTGGAATGCATTAAAAACATTGTTACAAGATTGTCTGTGCTTATAGTTTACTTTGAAATTGGGCAGTATCTTAAAATTTTCATATTTGTTCAAAAGAGTGAATGTTGGTCAAATGACAGATTTATCTTTTCACATAATTTTCAAATCTCACTTCGCTTCTTTGGGACCTCTTGATAATAACTAAAATTCAGGGACTTTATCTGTTATTAGTTTGCTTTCCTGGGACTTGGTTGTGATTTTCCTATATAGAAGAGAAAAAGGTGAAACTAAGATTGTGCGAGTGTGGGAATCAGTTCCTGTTAAGTATTATTGATGCAATTATTATCTTGGTGGAAGTCTCACAGGATTAAGAGCTATAGCTCTGTAAAAGGAGGAAAACGGGGCACACCAGATTCTTTGCAATTAGAGAGGCACAGACTCTCCTAACCAGCTTGCATATGGCACACCTTTTGCTTTGGCCCCTCACTACTCTATTCTTATAATCTTATATTTCTATCTCCTTAATGCCCATGGGTAACTATAATTCCTCGTTTGCCCTCTCAAGCGTCACCATGGGCCTCTCTTACCTCTAGTTCTTACCTCTTCTAGCACAAGCCAAGCACAGGTCCATCCTTTGCTTCCCTAGGCTTCTTAGATATCTTGGTAATTGAGATCCATTTCCATCAGTGAGGCAACCAGGTTTCTCTGGCCTAATTTTTTTTTTTTTTTGGGGGGGGGGTGTTCCAATTAATGTCCGACGACTCATTTACCCAAAGGTGTATATAATTATTTTGGAAAATAAGTATAATTATAAATAAAACAATAGAAAAATATAGAAATCAAGGTAAATAAAATGTATACTCATACTATATAAATGGATTGACATTATACCTATTATGTTTACAATACTTTTTTTTCTTTCCTTTATAAAATCAAATTGAAACCTTTTGCCAAATACCACGTCCTTTACGACTTGTATATGCCTAGTGGCTTAAAGATTGAGCTTGTCCGTCCAACCTTGAGCATAAAGACAAATGATTTCCTGCCTAGATGGCTGTGATTGGTACTCAGTTTTACAGATACCATTTGGATGGTGATGCTTCCTGTAACTATAGCCGTTCTTTTTGAAAATGAAATGAATCATATAAGATTGTTATTTTACTGATCATATTTGGTGGTAATGGCATCATGCCAAAAGAATTAAAGTCATAAAGCATTTTTTTTAATTAAAAAAAAAAGTCAAGTTTTAGTTTTGTTATTTTTACTGAACATGGTGATGGAAGAGCTCTCTCATTTCTTTCTAAATTCAGCTGGATATTCTAATTAAAGAGCTGTAAAGCCATGAGTGCAATAGAAAACAATGTTAATTTATGACAAGCAATGGAAGAAATCTGGTTAAAAACTATACGCTGATAGCTCTGTGGTACTTAATACATTAAAGTAAAGCAGTCTAACTTTTATCTTCTTTAAACTATTTGGTGTGATATTTCTTGGTCTCTGTTACCGTGCTTTGAATTAATGTGGGCTGTGATGGGAGAAAGACTTCTGTAATTGTAAAATCGTTATATTTGATCGAAAACAGGTACAATATCCTGATTTAGAGCAGCAGATGAATTTTGACACAAGAACAATGTCTTTCCTATCCAAAACCATCGCACAGGTATGTCCTGTCTCCTAATTTACAGTTATTTGACACAAAACATTGTAGACATGATGCTTTCTTTACTTATTCCTGAGACATTTATGAACATATAAAACCTTGAAGTGAAACACATTTTTTTGCGTGCTAAGTAACGATGCTGATAACTAAAAGGATGAGAGGACCACCAAAATGAAGTTGGAATTGGAATTAAAGTGAAACGTTTTTTGTTTAAATACAAAAGGCTATTTATGTATCTTCTTCTACTCCAAGAATATGACAAACAATTAGAGACTTTCAACTCTGGTTTCTTCAAAATTCATTGGAGAAAAGAACTAGACATCGGAGAGAGCATACAAAAATGATGGAGTAATGCAATGTTTCATGTCTAATTGTTTGTTGAATCTGCATGTCCTCTCTCTCTCTCAATAATTTATTGCTCCGGTATTGTAGCCATTGTTGTTTGTTTGCTTCAAGGCTGCTCCTTTTGGCCACAGTTTTTTCCTGAATACAGGTTTGAATGGTTGGCATCAGCATTTACGAAGGCCATAGCATTAGAACTGGGTAAGTCAGGACGCCCAGAGCATTCCATTATTGTTTGTTATCTTTAGTTGTCAGTCAGTACATATTAGGTTAACGTCTTGATGTCTTGTAAATTGTTGTTTCAAAGTAGGACAGAACAGATGTAGTTGAGTGTTATCCCTTTAGTTCATATAATTACCTTTGTGGAAATACCATCAACCCTGCTTTAAATAATATCACTTGACGATTAATTGTTTAGGGGATACTTGTGATATGCCCTTCTGGAGCATATCAACGTCTGGGTGTAATTGATTTGATTTCATTTAATATCATTTAAATGAGGGGTCTCTTGTGATTTTGTGGTCATTAAGCCTATCTAATCTATCATGGGGTATCACGCATCATCAATTTTAGCTTCTCTATCTCAGGAAAGGAAGAATTTGTATTAAACCATGGCTATTGGATAAAAGGAAAATTTATATTTCCCTTGAGTAAGAGTACTGTCTATTATGAAGATAACTTTAAAGCTTAATTGTTTCATCAGTTGAATCTTATTTTTAAGCATTGAGCATTGGTTTAACTGTCGAAAACTTTGTTCTATTTATATAGGGTTGAGATACGTTCCCTGATCACTTTTCTGTAGATTTTGTTCAGGAGGCAAGGAATTCTGAGAGAGCTGCCAGTAGCTTCAAAAACAACAAATTCTTCAGGGTTCCACATGTATACTGGGTATGATGATCGTGTTCTCTGCTGCTATTAACTTCCTATCTTACAAGCTTATCATTATATTTATATACATGCAGGAGTTAACAACAAGACAAGTATTGACCATGCAGTTTTGTACGGGACACAAGGTATCTTCTTTCTTGCTTTCACTTATTTCTTCAATAATGCTGTGTTTGCTTCGATGTGCTTCAGATTTCTGAGTATGGCATTATAGTAATGATTCTTTTTTTTTTTTTCCCAGATTGATGACTTAGACTTTCTGAAGCAGGCTGGGCTTGATCCTGAGAAGGTTAATTTGAACAATAATATTAGTGAACTTGACAAATTGTGGTTTCATGTGCTTTATGGTGGATATCTCAGTCTTTGATTGTGGTGGAACGTTGGCAATTGTTTGATGTTGATGACCGCAGCTTCATGTTTCCTTCTAAATATTGACTTTGAAGAATTGTTTATTTTGTACCTCATGTAGTACTGTAAGTGCTATTCCCTTTTTGTAGTCTAATCATGTTAAAATTGTTGTTGTAGGTTGCAAGTGCATTGGTAGAAATATTTGCTGAAATGATATTTGTACATGGTTACATACATGGTGATCCACACCCTGGAAATATCTTAGTTTCCCCTGATGGTTGTAATGGCTTCTCTTTGGGTACGTTCCTTTCGTAGATTTGAGATCAATTTTTCTGTATCTAGATTTACAAACTCCGTAGACTTAAAGAGTTGGACTCTGACCTTATTCCTTGCCTGGGAACTGTGATGCAGTTCTTCTAGATCATGGAATCTATTGGGAATTGGATGAAAAATTTAGGAAAGACTTTTGTCAGTTATGGGAGGCTTTGCTTCTGCAAGACTCAAAGAAAATAATGTGTCTTGGTGAGCGATTTGGCATCGGGAAGTATTCTAAATACCTGCCTATCATTTTCACTGGAAGGAATATTGAAAGGTCTTCATTTTCTCCTCTTTGTTCTTGCATTCAAAGAATTTTAGTTAATTTCACTTTAATGATAGTGATCCTTTTTTGTGGTTTGCTTTTACTGGTGGATTACAATTGTAAATCTCAAGCCACTGATATTGGTATTCATGGTTCTGAATGTATATCTTGCGGCTGTTCTGTTCTTGTGACATATGGTCTTTGTGCTTAGCATATTTGAATGATATATATTGATGGTAGTTAACTCTTATTCCTGAATTAAGTTCTCCAACCCAACTCCGTACGCTTTATTTCTAAAATAAAATTTTACCTGGTAAACATTTGCAGCATGTGCTGTACAATAACAACAACTGGCAATTTCACTTTTTATACAATTCCTCTTATTTTTGAATTACTTCCTTTGTTACATATTTTATATGATTTCCAAAATAATATACATAAAGTTGACGGCTTAAAATTTAGTGCTTTGAATTATACTGCTGCGGAACAACCTCTCTTTTTTTCCCCTCCAAAAAAGAACCTCAAATTGGAGCCCATTTATGATGAATATATGTTACACAGTGCTATGATGTGTAAACTGTTGGTTAGTAGCCTTGGATGCAATTAGTGGGGAAAACAAGTGTTCAGGGTGAAAAATAAAAACATTGCTTTGTGCTATTTATGGGCACTTTGGTTGGAGCAAAATGAATGGATGCAATTTGAAGGAGCAACGCTATCTACATTTTTGTCAGAGGATAAGAATGTTCTTGGCTGGTCTGGTTTCTCTGCAGATCAATCTCTAAAAATTATTTGCAGATCAAGCTAAAAGCCTGAGATTTAGATTTGAAACTAAAATATCTCTTTCTCTCTTGTTTTTATGAAGAGAGATAGGCACACAAGGATCTGTCGACAATATTTCTGTAGAAAAGCCATAGTTGTTTTGCGCCTTTTTTGTGTGCTCATCTTATGCTTTACTTCATTGACTCTACTTGATGGATATGCTGAGACTATAAAACGTGTTGTCACGAGCTTGTTTATTCCTAGTGTCTAATTTTTATGCCTTTGTTGTGAGAGGACATGTTATCCTCTCGTTTTATTTAATATCTCTCCATTCAAATTCTATTATATGGGGAGCAAAAAGATGATGAAACTTTATCTTGTGAGTTGCAGTAAATCTGGTCTTGGCAGTGGAATGTCAACTGAGGAGAAAGAAAATATGAAAAAGGAGTTGAAGTCTCTTTTATTTGAGGACTTGTCTCCGTTCATGGAGTCTCTGCCACCAGAGTTTCTCTCTATTATGCGTGTAGAGTAAGAAACGTTTCACATCTGCCTCATCTGATGCTTACAAATTCTTTACCGATGTGCTTAACTTTTTTCTTGCTTATTTTAGCGGGCTTTTAAGGTCTATCATCAGAAAGTTAGGCGCCTCACGATGGATCAGGTGGCTGGCTTATGCTAAATATGGAATGTACGGTATCTATCAAAAGTTGGATGCTGAATCGGGTAAATGCTTTGAACTAATTTGTGCGTTGATTTTGTCATTTCTGGAGGTTTATATGGAAGCTTGTCTTGATTGTCAACAACACGGGAGGAATTTGAATACATTTATTTCACATTTCAAAGCATCTTGAATACCACAAGAGTCCTTAATATATGAGTTAGTTGGGACTTGGGAGGTTGAATTTGATTCTAATTATAAGATCTCGATTCACTTTGTCTTCTAAATTTAAAACTTTTCTCTCAAAATGTCCCCATTGATCGTAAGGAGTTCCCATCAAAAGGCAGTTCCATTAAAAAGGATAGTTTAAGAAAGTCATTACAAATAACTAAATTAATTTCTTTAATATTCCCAAATGGTCTAAATAGACTATGATTAGTATCACAAAAGAAATTACCATAAAATTCAAGCATGTGGTATTTTATAAATATCTAGATTTGATTATCAAACAGAGGCATTTTTCATCCAAAATATGAAGGTTAAGATAATGACGTACTAAGTTGATTAGCGTACGAGCGAAAGAACAAGAACTCGCCCTTGCAGAAAATTGTCAAATCCTTGCAGCATTTGTTATTAACTTCTGATCTCAAGGAGGAACTTACGTCAATCTCGATCATTTTTTATATAACACTAGGCCTAAGTTTTGCCCCTTCTGTTTTTTCATGCTTCCAGATTTTGCTGCGAAAGCTGTGTTCTTCAGATTGATATCAGAGTTAAAATATTATGAGATCTTAATAAAGCTCATTGTCGGTAAGAATGCTGTTTGCTTGTCAATATAATATTAGTGTCACCTCAAAAATTGAATTGGCTCTTCACTTTTTCTTCAGGGGAGATTGAAGCTAAGTTTGTAGTGCCTCTGCTGCAGAAGATGAAGAGTGCACTAAATTATATGGCAAGATCCATGGTGCCTTTTGGGGCGTCCTAACGCATTGTTGTTTTCTTCTTCTTCTTCTTGTTTTTTTTTTTTTTTTTCGGTTTTTTTGGGTACAATTATTTTCTTCTTTTTATGATACGTCATGGTGCATTGTTAAATAGAATTTCAAATCTTTTTTTTTTTGTGTGTGGGTGTAATATAGTTTCAAATCATAGATTTTGGACATTACGGATCAGGTAAAGTAAAACATAAGTTGGGCCCATGATTGACATCATGATTGGGCCTGGGCTTGGACCCAAAAAGAAATAGGTCAGCCCAACCCTATTTCTCTGAGATGGATTCTTAGCGCCACTTCTCGTGTCATCTTATGACAAGACTGAATGGACTAATCAGCTATGCTAGAAGAATATGGTATAATCTCTTAAACCCCAATTTTACAGCTCAGCTCTTTTCTTATGATTTGATGGGCTGGTTGAATTTTAATTTGGGAATCATGCTGTTAGTGATTTTTGATTGGAATGGAATCTGATATGGGGATTCACTATTTGGAAACTTTGGTGATGGAGGAACCAAAATGTTTTTGATGATCAATTTGAGAAGCCCAGATGTGCGGAACTGATTATAAGGGCTACTTGGAAGAATTTTATTTCTTCTGACAGATTGAATTGTACAGAGCAACAAGCCCTTAAAGCAACAATTAGTTGGAAACCTCCCCCAAGGGAGTGGGTTAAGCTTCATGGTGATGGTGCTGGCTCGAAGAAAGGTAACAAAGCTGCTTGTGGAGGCCTCATTCGAGACTCTAAGGGTGACTGGATAGCTGGCTTTACCCAAGATGTTGGAATATGCTCTGCAGCTGACGATGAAGAATGGGCCTTGTTTAAAGGGATGCAATTGGCTTGGGACTTTGGTTTCAAGAAAATCATCGGCGAAAATTTATTGTCGAATGAGCAGATTGATTGCTGCTCAACGGTCTATCGAAGGATCCGTCAGATGATAAGCTTCCAGTGGGAAGTTACTTTTCAATGTGTTCCAAGAGGAGGTATTGAGTTTGCTGATGAACTCGCCAAAATGGGGTTTCAAGGATCAATGTTATTTGATACTTGTCAGGGGCAACTCCAAGGGATACTGAAGAGGGAGAAACAGGGAATTGGTATTGATACTGTAACCTAGGCGTTTGCCTTCCTTTGTACCCAAAAAAAAAAAGAGAGACTAAATGAACTAATCAAATCAAAATAGATTTGAATTCCCGCCATAAGGGTGTTTATATTTAGTGTCTAACACAATATGTGTAGCCAAAAAAGAAAAAAGGAAACTGAGCCAACTAAAACCACAAGATCCCAACCAAAAATTGACCGCAAGTGAAGTTTTGTTCACTTTTCACGATGTCGGAATTCATTGGTTTGGTTCGCTGAACCAAATAAAATCCCCCTTAATCTTTCTAATATTTAGTCCATACCCATTTCAAATGGGGCGCAAATCTAAATTTTTTTTACTTTCCAAATCTCTTATATTATTTAATATGGGATTAATAATATGTACCACTGGAATTAAAATTAAAAGATACAGAAAATTTTTAAAAATAAATAGCAACGTTTTTATATGGAATAAATACTTTTGAAACCTTTTATTTAATTAATTTTTGAATTTATGGAGGCTAATTTTTTATTCTGAAAAGTGAGTATGAATTTGGTTCTAATGCATTAAAATTTACCCTATTTTTTCCAAAAAAAATTTAGAATGATTCTAGCTCATCCAAAGTCCAAACTGTAGATTTCAACATCAATATGGACTAACTTCATTGTAAACTTAATACTTTAATAGGTTCTGATTTTTGTCAAATTTGATTACTTTGGCCTGGTTTTATTTTCACCGAAAATCGAAATCAAAGCAGACTTGTAACACCACTTTTTGATATGGTATGCTGAAGACATTTGGGGTAAAGGTTCGTCATCATAAAGCGTATGTTTTAAGGCACTTTGTAAAGTGGCTTTTAAATTGGGAATTTAACTATTAACGACTGGCATTGGCAAAACAAAGAATCATGACTCAAAAGCTATCCAAACAAACCACTTTAGGAACAATGGGAAGCCCAATACCATGGGCGACCGCGAGAGTTAAAACAAGCAAATCAAATGAGCTTCCGTTGCACAAACCAGAGTCCCCAGTACTTTTAAATAGATCTCTCCGTTGAAATTTACTAATCACTGGATTGTGATATAACAAAGTTGAAAGAAGAATTATAGTTAAATAATCTTCAACCAAGAATAATATACAGAGAGAGAGAGAGAGAGAGAGAGAGAGATTTATGCTCTCTATGTTATATATACCAAACAAGATGCGCATAAAAATGAGCACTCAATATTGTAGATGTGGAGCTACATCGGAAATGCAAGAAAAACAGAGGATCATAAAATGTCAAAAGACCCAAATACCCTTGACTTTGCCCCAAAAAAAGGTGGAGGTAAATATGACTTTTCATCTCTTATGTTTTCCTTTGGGTTTTGGGAGCAATCTCGCCAGGTCTCTCTCCGGCCTTCTCTCCTGCTGCGCTACCCACTCATATCTTAATTTTTTGGACTTCTTTATATGGTATATTTACCATAATACCCCATTTTTACCTGCAACAATACACACTCGGAGGGAAAATCAACTGGACAGAATCCTATTTCTGCTTTCAACTGGAAAAGGAATTGTGGAATGAATGACTTCTCGCATACCAAACATTGAAAGATGATTTGGTTGCAAATAAAAGGAGAAGAAATTTTCTTAAGTAACAAAATTCTTTTGCTTGCTTCATTAAAAAATCTTAACGTTTTGAGAAGCTACACCTCATATTTTTCTCATGACTAAAAATGTAATATATTCAGCATAACTCATAAATTTTGCTTCTCTAAAACTTATTTTATATTCACAAACTTACTCAGTTGCACTTAAAACCTATAAAGTAAAATTCAAGTGAAATGGTATTTTTGTCCTTATCATTACAAACAATACCATATCTTCATTTACAAATAATTAGATTTATTTGAAGTTCTAAAATGTGAAACAAGCAATTATTTATGAACTTCACAAATAGACAGGGATGAGACTAGGTTAGGCTAGGTTTTAGCTAAATAGGAATGGTTCTATAATGCATATTTAAAGTTTGAGCTTGCATATGATTTTTTTTCCAAGCTTGAGCCTAAGCCTTTATAAGGTCTAATAAGGCCTAAAGCCTTTTTAAAGCCTACTTAAAATGTAGATTTTTAAATAAGCTTAAAAGTCTACGCTTCTAAATTCACATATAATCCTTTAAATCTATTTAGAAATCTATGTTATGTCTCAAAAGTTTAGAATCCATTCTTAGTTGCAATATAAAATTTTAAAAAGGAAAAAAAAAAAGAATACATAGTGACAATAATTGTCCGAGAAGTAGGAATAAGAAAAACTAATCATCTGTTGATTAAAGAAATATATTTTCTAGAATCAAACAAGCATAACAAGTGGTATATAAAACTAGATTTTACCTTTTTCAGTTTTCTTGCATAAACTATGACAAACTTTTCCTGCTGAGATTATAATATTTCATTTAGATATCACTAAAATAAACTTACAATAATTGTTATGCTTTAGCGAACAACGCAAATCAGGAGAGAGGGAGTGAGCTAGCTTTTGAATGATAAAAAGAAAAGATGTAGAGGTGAATGATTAGTGAATGAAAGGGTTGATTTTATGTATGATTGTTGTGATGTGAAACTTAGGATCAAGCCAAAATTAATAATTTTACAAATAATTTATAAAATTAATTTAGATTATATTATATATAATAGTGCAAATTAAAAAAAATTAATCAAGTGAAGGCTGTAGGTTAGGCCTTATGAGAATTGGCTGGGCCCCTTTACCTTGATAGACTTACAAATATGCCTGAATATAGGTTTGACTTATTTACTAAATATGTTAGGTTAGATTTTAAATAGGTTATGGGCCTAGCTTACTCCCACCTCACAAATAGTTGAATTTCTTATAAGTTAAAAAAATTATTTCTTAAAAAATTTGGAAAAATCCCAAAAAAGTAATAGTTGAATTTTAAAATTTCAAATTAATATTGATTACTATATTTATAAAGAAAATGACTACATTCGAAAAGCAAATGACAACATCTTTTTGTAGTAATTCTTTATTTGAAATTTTGAAATTCAACAATCAATTTTTTTGGGATTTTTCCAAAATTTTTTGCGATTTTGTCTTTTCCTTCCAGCCAAATTAATTGCACCACAAAGTATATACTATCTCTGGTTCTAAATATAAGAGCTTATTGACTAATTTGAAGAGATTAAAGAAATAAATTAAGTTAATTATTTGTAATAAATAGGTGTTGTCTTTCTTAAAATATCCTTATTAATCAAGTGTAATTGTTAAAACTATTATTATTAGAAAGACTACCTTGAAAAAAATATATAAATATGAGAAACGAAGTGAATCAGGATCTTATATTTAGAATTAAAATAAAAATCAAATAAAATTTTAAATTAAGAACCGAAGATAGTATTATGTTTAGGAGCAAAGATAGCATGTGTGTGTAATTGAATTGATGTCAACGTCCTTACTTCTCCATATCATATTAAACTAATTAATGTCGATGTCCTCACCTCTGCATATCATATTAAACCTTTTTTTAGCTCGTGTCCTATTAATTTAATTCTGATATCTTAAGCCTTCACTTTCACACTGTTATTCGATTACTGTACTCCCACAAAGGTGAAAAAAAATGAGATTCTAATAATAATAATTTTATTATTTAATAACATTTTTACTTATGTTAAGATAATTATATTTTCTTTACTATTATAGTAATTTTAAACATTTGCATTTTGTTTTTCAATTCTTTAATTTTAATAAATTGCATAGTTATATTATAGACATTTAAAATTATATTTTTACAGGAACAATAACACACACATTAAATATAAATATTACTCCCAGTGCTAATTTTTCAGGTTCTATCTCCCTGTTATTAAAACAAACAAAAATAATACTCCTTCAGTCTTTAATATAAGACCTGTTTAATTAATTTGATTAAATTAAGAAAATTAGGTAAGTTAATTAATTATAAAAAAATATGACATGTTTTGTTCTAAAACACCATAATCATTTTTCTTAATATCCTCCATCCCCCACTTACTTGATTATGGTTGAAGGAGTATCCATAGGGATAATTTAGAAAAAATTAATAAATATGAGAAATAGATATTATATTTAGGATCAAAATTAACTTAACAATTAGGTCCTATATTAAGGACTGGAAGAGTACTTAATAATTTTCATATGCTAAGTTATTCCATCCAGTTTTAATCGTATGAGCTTAATAATTAATTTGTATATTTTAAACAAATTAGTTAAATTAATTATTTATGAAATATGTGTATTAATTTTTTTTAAATATCTTTTAAATCATGTACATTGAAATTACCCATTAATAAAAACTTCGCTAACATGTATAAATATAATCAATGAAAATAATTTAAAAAAATTATAAAATAAAAAACAAATTAAAGTAAACTAAGATTTTATGTTTAAAATTAAAATAAATCTCCTAACTAACTTACTATTAGGATTGAAACAAGCATAACACTAAATACGGTCATAATTATAAGAGCTAGTTGACTAATTTGAGAAAATTAAGGAAAGAAGTTAAGTTAGTTATTTGTAATAAATATGTATTGTCTTTCCTAAAATATCCTTACTAATCAAGTGTATTAGTTAAAACTATAATTATTAGAAAGACTATCTTGGAAAAAATTGAGTAAATGTGAGAGACAAAATGGATTGAGGTCTTATATTTAGGACCAACACAAAAGTCAAACGGGATCTTATATTAAGGACTGGAGGTAGTATATTCTAATAGAATGGAGATGGATCTATTTTATATTGAAGAAGTTATAAAAAATTTTTGGCCAAAAATATCGATTTTATTAATATTTTAAAAAAGGTACCAAAATAAATCTCTCAAAAGCAACCTAAAATGCAACCTAACACGCAAAGGCTCACTGAAAACAGAGAAATGAAAACACAAAGCACAATAAAACCCCAGCCTAGCTAGACTTAGAAACAAGAGACACATCAGCCAATACCTTCCCTTGGAGTCTTGATATTTTAGAAGAATTTAAAAATTGATTATTTTAGAACTTCCTAGTCTTGTATCTGACTTTTTTGAGCAAAAGCAACAAGGGAACCAGATTCAAAACCTTATGCGGCTAGAGTAAGTA